TCGTATCAAATGTCAATCGACAGATAGGTACTTAAGATACTACTTGACTCAAATTTCCGCCATACCAATTGCTAAAGGTACTGTTAGTCCCAAAATTCTAACAATCATACAACCATAACAGTGATAAAGAAGCAGATAGAAAGAAATCGACAAGATTGAACGTGAATCTGGTATACCGTATGAACCTGCCGCTACTCTCCCTGGAGAAGGAGAGCAGCGGCAACCCTAATATCTCTCTATCTCGCCTCTGCGTCTCTAAGCCTCTCACGATCAGTTTGGTTCCCGTAAGTTAGCCTCCTTTTATAGGAGAAGTTGGCTAACTTACGGGTTACAAGGAAGCCCACGGGCTGATACACATTTGTGGCCCGTATTACACGTTTAATTAATAACTACACAAATACAAAGATAACTAACTAGATTGAACACCATAAAATATTCCCAACAGGTACCATCTTAACAATTAGAGACCTTGCAACTCAAGTACCAAAAGTTCTATAAGTACCAAACATTCATGCTCATGGTTTTCAAAATCATTTGAAAAAAGAGAATTTTGAGACTTCATTATGAAGTTTATGGACTAAGGCTCTGATACCAATTAAATTGTCACACCCCAGACCTACCCGGACACGTCAACAACCCGTCGTACAATACGAATAATCAACCACAACCAACACATCCATATTATACAAGGCGTCTTGAATACATTCACACATAAGTCATCCATAAACAAACATAATAAGCAATTTAATAAGCAGCGGGAAACTTAGTTTGAATACCAATGCCACACATGGCAAACATGAGCACGCAAGCTCCGTAAGAAAATATCCATGAGCATGTTTATTAGTGTTCAAAAATAGAATAGAGGAAGCATGAACCAAGGCTTCCCTCCTAGATGGTCACTCGAGCAAAGAGCGCAGGTAGCAAGCTCTAACCTCAATCTGAAATAGTGGTGGGACGCCCCTGAAGGGGTCAGTACTCTATAGGGCTATAAAGTACTAGTGTGGATGGCATCTAATAGATATACAACAAGTATTTCAAACACAAGACCCTCAAATAGGGTGATAATATAATCTAGGCTGTAACCCCAAGTTACCCCTTTTTCAAAATATACTTAATTTATATAAAGTCAAGTAGTCGACCCGTAGGCCCAAGTTTGTTTACAAAACATCAACCCAATACCCCGTGACTATCAGTCATGACAATTCATAGGGTCAAACCCTAACACATATGTTTGCATTTCTAGAGTCCAACTCAAGTACATCATCATGGAAATCATATGACACAAGTCAATTACTTCACCGTGCATTTCTAGAGTTCTACTCAAGTACATCACCATGCACATCATAGGTTACAACCTTCAATCTCACCATTACTTTCTAGAGTCCAACTCAAGTACATCACCATGCATGTCATCAATCACAACCCCTTGTCTACCCATGCACTTCTAGAGTTCTACTCAAATACATCACCGTACCATGACATATACCCAATTTCTAAGCAACCTATGCCTAGAATTGACATATCAATAATCTACCTTAGGACATCCTTAAGGACTGCCCATCACATGATCTTAGCTTCATACTAAATCAATTTAGTCACTTGAATCACATTCAATTGCATCACTTACAATCAAGTCCTTAGAATCAATTCTTTAACAATTATAAATAATTTTTAACTAGCATTTCAATACTATTAAGATTAGTCCTATCAAATCAAATATTTCATTTGTATATCCCTACATATTTAGGAAATATGTAGCAACAACTTAAGCATCCAATGTAATACATAAATATTCATCATTTATGTATCTACACATTTCACACATGAGCAAAAATGCCTATTTTTCATAATAGTTCACTAATAACTCATTTAATTCCATTTTTATCAATATGATTTCAAATCATTTCCAATTTCATTCCTTATCAAATATATCAATATTTCATCAATAATAAATCATCATAATCTATGAAAACATGATTTAGACATTTAGGTAATCTCATGCTCAACCTATAAGTTGTAAGCAACTAGATGTCGATCCACACCTTAATTGAGCTTTAAACATTTCCTTCTTGATCCAATGACCAAAGCTTCGACCAAAGAAATTTGAGAGCTGCTTACTTGATTAGAAATTAGATTTAAACAGTCCCCTATAAAAGTGATAGTTCAACCCCTAACCGTTGATACGAAAACAGCCCCTAGAATGGGTGTTTTCCGGCGAACTTGGTTCCTAGTTTTTTCCAAGGTTTGCTCTAGGTTAGTATCTAACCTTTACATCAATAACATAACCTTATAATAACGTATTATAAACTTGGAATAGTGTATAATATTTCCACCAATGGTTCATATCATATGGGGAATGAAAAGAAAGGTTTTGAGATTAAAACTCACTTTAGAGAAGTAAATCCGTCCCTGCGCGTTTGTGTTTTGTTCGGACGATTTGAAAGCCTTCCACTACTCCGTTTGATGAAAACCAGACCTTTACGGATTACCTATATTGATAGATATCTGTTGGCACCTAACACTCCTTATTTGGACGAGTATAGGTCAAGATACGAACCAAACAACACAATTACTCCCACTGCTCGAGTTTATATGCAGCAGTTCCCTCAACCTCGATTATTGTCTGTAATACTCTCTCTTCTTGCTCAGAAACCACTCAATAATGAAACTAGACTTCAAAGTCTATCCATGGACAACTTAATCACCTTATTGGGATGAGTAAAACTCCCATTATGGGGGGAGAACACTAACACACTTATTTTGGGCGGAAATTGACTAGGTGGCCCCAAATTTGATGCCAATTATGTCATGTGCAGCTCCTCTCCATGTTGTCCGGACAAGGTAAGTCTTCTCACTTACTTTTCTTTGTCTTGCAGGTACTCAAGCCATGTGGAATGCTTCCCAATCAATTTGTGGTCCAAAATATCTACCAAATACTCCCAAAAATGGGAAGATGGATCATATTGTTTTATCTTTGTCATGAAATGTCTTTTTGTACCCACTATAATTTATATAGACCAAGTCAACTCCCTACATCATATTATTGATATCCAATATGTGTAGGATGATCCCAATAATTTACATGATAAATATTATAGAAGAAAAAACCTACTCCCATTATTTAGCTCAATAATGTCAAAAATGGGACCATAGGCATTTTTATTCTTCTCTAATCATCCTATCACTTATTTATGACATTAGTATTCATATTGCTGGGCTACTAGCCGTGTGGGTTACCCTCAAGTGGGCCTAAGATGTCATTCTTGAATACTTACTATTTTTAGCAGGTTGGGTCCAAAATAATGTTTGGGTTGCCCGACCTTCCTTAACTTGTGTCGAAAGGTTATGCATCATTATTTACAAAATATTGGGCTCTTGTATTTGATAAGATGACCCAAATAAGTATTTGAAAGCCCATTACTAGTATACAAGCCCGAACGGTAGTATGATCAACCATGCATTACTTAAAATAGTAATCGTTTTACAATTTTTCGATAATAGGGAAATCAATACATAAACTTTGAAATTTAAATTGAATTTCAAGGACGTTCGGGTGCGGTGTCACAGAGACCCTCCGTCCTCCGATCCTATTCATCACTGAGGTTCTCAATGACGGCCTGGAATGATGAGACCGTTGAGACCTTGCCGATGGAGATTTCCTTTGTCGCTGTGCGAATATCTCCTCGTTCCGCGGGGGAATGGATGGAGCCCGACACGGAGATATAGGTCTTTCATTGGTATTGGGAACGATTCCTTGGAAGACAATGGTTAATGTTTCCATGACCCTCTGGAACGTAGCCAAACTTGCCAAGGCCTTTGCCAAATCCACGTTTGGGATGAGATTCCCGGTAGCTGGTGTCTGGAACTGTGGTGGTCGCGTCGCCGGGCGCCTGGAACTCCCAATGCCCTAAAGCTGGTTCCTCAAGTCACCCGGAGTCACCACGTTATCGTTTCTCTTCCGAAAATCGCTTTGCCGTGACCAGGAACCTTCGTCCTCAATTACAACCTGATCGAAACGTGCACCACCTTGATTGCTACCAACACGGTTGTGACTGTGTGATCCAACCATTGTCGCCGTAGATCGTTCTCTCAACGAGAGCACCATATGATGAAGTTTAATCCAACTACTAGAGCTATATCTACGTGAGCAAATGAAATTTAGGCAGCGTAAGGCAATATTATTATTTCGGAATCCGTTCTTTTGATAGGACGAGTACATGAAGTATTTATAGACCCTAGGAACTAGCATTATAGTAGGAAACTGATACATTTAATACTATTAATTACATAAGAGTCCGGTAACGTCTTGGCCGTTGTGCAATGATAGTTTCCTCTAGGTCCACGTTTCTTCCGTTATTCCTACCTGCTTCCATATAGCTATGCACGAGTGATAGCCTGCCACATAAGCCCTAAGAAGAGTTCGACCTCACTAGAACTCCGCCCAGGCTCGAGGTCTGCTATCCAGTCTGACCTGGCTGTGGGTTTCTATTGTGGGTTGGATTCCTAGTTAGGCCCAACAGCTATTTAATATTAATCCCATTTATGGGCTGATCCCGTTAGAGCTGATCCTGTTTAAGTTGATCCCGTTTAGGGCTGATCCCGTTTATGGGCTTTTATTATAATTCTATATTTGGGCCATGGCCGTAGTCCGTGGTACCATCACTAAATTAAGGGTATGTTTGCAAAACATTAAAAAAAAGTGACTTTGAGCTTTGACTTAAAAAACTGAAAAGAATGCTTTTAAGACTTCAACTTAAATTAAACACTTAAAACCTAAAAGCTAAAATCTACTTTTTACGTTTTCTATTACACAAAAAACACTTATTTTACGAAACATTACCAACTTTTATTTTGATAAATTTTTTATCAAACAATATCAACTTTTATTATTATGAATTATTTTTTCCGAAATCGCTATAAAAGTGATTTGTAAAGCAAAAACTATAGCAAAGAGCCAAAGACTCTAAATTACTACTCCACTCCAAGTCGAAATATGGGAAGTTTAATTGGGCTCGGAGGGTAATTAGGGTTCGATTGAGCCCAAATGACTCCACATAAGTTTGTGGAGCTCCGTCTCATCCCGCGCTTCTCTGATTGTCAAATCGTCGATGGCGCGGAAACGTCGCCGTTCAAAGAATGGTGGAAAGCTTTCCATTCCAAGAGGTTTGCAGTCTCCAAAGAAAGTGGGAACATGATTTTGTTTGTTTATTTTTTCTCTCTTGTTTACCGTGTGAGGAAGTGGTGAATATGAAATCCGTGCAGGAACATGAAGAACCCGGAGACGACGAAGGTGTTAGCGCGGCGGTTGAGAAGTACTGGTTTCAAAGGTTCAATCTCTTCTCCAAGTACGACGAGGGCATAAAGATGGATGAAGAGGGGTGGTTTTCCGTCACACCGGAGAAAATCGCCGCCAGGCAAGCCCAACGGTGCTGCGGCGCTGTTGTGATAGATGCTTTCACGGGCGTGGGTGGAAATGCCATTCAACTTGCCGCGAAGTAAGACTGATTGATAAAAATGAGTAAGTTACAGTTTTTTGTTTTTGTTTTTGTTTACTGGCTGCAAAAAAAAGTTCTCTTTCACAGGTATAATCATGTACTTGCTATTGACATTGACCCTAGAAAGATTGAAATGGCTCAAAACAATGCAAGGATATACGGAGTGGAGGAATACATAGATTTTCTTACAGGGGATTTTTTCCAATTGGCACCATTTCTGAAGGTAATTAATGTCTTTTTTCATCTCATCCCACCCAAACCCGCTCGCTGATTTACCCGCTCTAAGTTCGGGAATGCTTTAGAAGGAACTTTCTTATTGTTTTAATCCTATTTAGTCTCTTATGTTTTTTATTTGTACTTTGATATAGATTTGAGATTTTACAAAAAATGGGCAGTTAAAATAATGCGTGATTGTATAACATTCCAATCACTTTTTGTGTCTTTGGAAACATCTTTTTGCTTAGCATTTAACCCAAGACAAGATATAACCCAAGTCACCCAACCTCTATGCAAACGGACCTTACATTCTACCAAATCCCAACTAGAAGCTAAGCCTCAACATGTCATCAATGGTGGTCGGGGAATTTGATGTACAGAACATAGAAGCCAGATCCTTTTGGGTCCGTATTAGACATATTATCAATCCGAGATCTGAAAAATGAAATGTATTGATATAAGACTCAAATTATGAAAAACTATCAATTTAGGACCTGGATGATTCAAAACTATCAATCTAGGACCTAAATTGTCATGAATTTTGGTCTTATGAAACTAATAAACTATTGTGTAGATTTTAGGTCAAAAATTAGCCATGAAATTAATAAACAATTAAATAAATCAAAACCTATGAAATTTTAGGTCCTAGATTCATAATTTTTATCATTCGAGGTCCTATACAGGTACATTTCATCTTTCAGGTCCGGATTTATAATTCGTCTATCTTTTAGGTCCTGGATCGATAAAATTCCGTAATTCATTTGGTGGAAACTACTTATAAAATCCATTATTAATGAAGATAGATTTCTGACGAATAGTATATCCGGGGGATACCGCTGAAGGTATCTAAAGAGATGTTAGAACAAGTAAGCGAGAATATGTATGTATTAAATGAGTTCAAGAGTTCGGATACAATGGGATCGGATCCTTTACAATGAAGAGTAGAATTGCTATTTATAGCAACCATAAATGCTAGATGCAATAAGTGAGGGTACACGTGGCAAGTAATTAGCGGTGGAGAGTCAACTCAGCCAAGGTGGCGCCGACATAGCATGTGACCGCATTCAATGCGGTGGTTGGACGTGACACCGCATTTAATGTGGTGATTTAGAACATGAGGAGAGGAGATCCTGTCGAGGAGGGTGCCCTCGCCTACATGCACCCGGAGGCTGCATGTGCCGAAGGCTGTCCGTGTCGAAGACCGTACGTCCCCAGGGTCCATTTGGACCTTGGCGGCGTGCTGGGGACGTACGTAGCTGGGGAGGACCTCATGTGCTGAAGGACGTATGTCCTTAGGGTCGTACGTAGTTGTGGAGGACTTCATGTGCAGGAGGACGTACGTCTCCTGGGGGCTGTACGTAGCTGGGTAGGACTTCATGTGCAGGAGGACGTACGTCCCCTGGGGCCGTACGTAGTGGGGAGGATCGTACGTAGTTGGAGCTCTTCTTGTATTAGAGGACGTACGTACTTACTACCTAGGGCCTTTCATGTGTTAGAGGACGTACGTACCCGGAGGGCCGTCATGTGCTGAGGGACGTACGACCCCGGTGATGTTTCTGGACCAGGTGCAACCGTTTCTGGACGTACGTATCCTGTTGTAGTATGGGCTGTCTGAAGTCCAGTTTGCTGTGTTTGGGCCACTTGGGCCTAATTGTAGTAGTGGAAGTATGTGGACCGGGGGTTCCTGGGCCATATACTCCATCAGGAGTCCCCCACTCCTTTTGCCGAGAGCTTCTCGAGGGAAATAGGAGTAAGTGTTGTGAAGTCACCGGTGGTTGCCTTGCTGTAGCTGTGAAGTAGTGAAAACTTTGCGTTTGCGTGTTTTGCCGAGGGGAGTCCCCCATTCCCCCACATTTTGAGACTGAAGGCATTTGTTGATGCTTTGAAAAACTTTTAACTTTCGTGATTTCCCGAGAGGGTTCCCCAGTCCCCCACTCCTTAAGGCGTATGTAATGAGGTGAAAAGGAGTAGAGCAATACATGTTTTCAACAAGGGGCCTAGGGTCGACACATTTTGATCCACAATGGGAAGATTCCTCATTAAAAACCTCATTAGGAAAAACCCTGTGGGAAAAATCCTAATGAGGGAAAAAAAGTACACCGGATGCCCTCAAAGTGAAGCAAGAGGGGTGAACCCTTCGGCCTGGGTGTGGAGCTGTAGAGGTGTCCGTCTGCGGAGGGGACGCCCATCTGAATATGAGGACGAGGAGTTGGATGCCTGTGTGAATATGGGGACTAGGCGATGGACGTCCGTCTGGATATGAGGATGAGGCGGTGAACGTCCGTCTGGATATGAGGATGAGGTGATGACGAAGTCGATCGTCATATAAAGGCGATGGTCACCATCCAGGAAGGGATGAAGAGTCCAATTGCTAGCTCAAGATGGTCGGCGTTGGGGTAGTCGGTCTTTAGACATTAGGCTCACGTCGAGGTCGGGGGGCCGTTCGTGACGACGACACTGAGAGGCTGATCGTCATATAAAGGCGATGGTCACCATCTAGGAAAGGATGGCGAGCCCAATCGCCACCTCAAGACGCTCGGCGCTGGGAAAGTCGATCTTGAGATATTAGACCACGTTGTGGTCGGGGGCCGTTCGTGATATGAGGACGAAGTGATGTTGAAGCCGATCGTCATATAAGGGCAATGGTCACCATCCAGGAAGGGATGACGAGCCCAATCGCTTACTCAAGATGTTCGGCGCTGGGGAAGCCGATCCTAAGGTATATAATCACATAGAGGCCGAGGGGCCATTCCTGATGCATGGACATCAGCACTGAGAGGCTGATTCGAAGTTCAAGCAACGGTCCTTATCCATAAAGTGAGAGGATGAGGCCAGTCTTCAGAGTATGATGATCACGTTGAGACCGAGGGGTCTGCCGTGATGTGGGGATGAACGTAGTTGATGAAGCCGTTTGTCACATGAAGGCGAGGGTCGCCATCCAGGAAGGGAATGGTGAGCCCGCTTGTTAGCTCATGACGCTCGGCGCTGAGAAAGCCGGTCTTGAGATAAATGACCACGTTGAGACCGAGGGGTCTGTCGTGATCTGAAGATGAACGACGTTGATGAGCCGGTCCTATAATATGGTGACGAGGCGATGAAAAAGCTGATCGTCATGTAAGCTCAAGACTCTCGACGCTGAGGAAGCCGGTCTTGAGATAAAGGATCACGTTGAGATCGAGGGGTCTGCCATGATCAGGGGACGTACGACGATATTGAGCCGATCCAAATAGGTGATGATGAGGCGTTGGTGAGGCCAATCGTCATGTAAGCTCAAGACTCCTGGCGCTGAGGAGGCCGGTCTTGAGATAGAGGATCACGTTTGGACCGAGGGGTCTGCCGTGATAAGAGGACGTACGACGATCATGAAGCTGTTCGTCTTATAAAGGACCAAGTTCTGATGCTGGTCTGAAGATGAAGGACTGCGTTGGGGACGCCCGTCCTTTGATGACGACATCGGTGATGAAGCCGTTCATCATATAAAGGACCAAGCTTTGAAGTTGGTTCTGAGGATGGACAGCTATGGACGCTCGTCTGGTGATGAAGGGCGGCATTGGGATGCCTGTCTGATGATTGTCCCCTAAGCCCAAACCTTCGGGTGACTCCCTGGGAACAACCCAAGAGAAGAGGCTTGTCCCCATAGGGGATGTACGTCAGGAGACACTGGCTCATCGACTTGGGAGATGCCACATGCATTGGCTGGCGACGTACGTTGGATTCAATTTTCCCTTTCGTTCCTGTGGGGACGTTCGTCCTCAGGGTACCAAACCCGGAAAGGAGATAGCTTCAGGAGATAGCTATATTCCAAGGACGCCGTCAGGGGACGTACGTCTGGAGTACCAACCTAGTAAAGGAGATAGTTTCAAGAGATAGATGTATTCACAGGACGTCGTCGGGGGGGGCGTAAGTCTGAACACACAGGGGCGACATACGTCGGACTATATTCTTTTTCATTTCGTCCCCACAAAGGACGTACGCTAGGAGACACATACATAGAGTGACGACGTACGTCAGATTCGATTCTGCTTGCTTTTGTCCGCATGGAGACGTTCGTCTTTAGGGTACCGAACCAGGAAAAGAGATAGGTGCATTCCAAGAACCGTCTGGGGACGTACGTCAGGAAACACAGAGGGCGACGTACGTCGGATTTCCAAGGAAAGAAGATAGCTTCATTTCGAGGACAACCGTGAGGGGACGTACGGCAGGAACCACAGAGGGGCGACGTACGTTGGATTCCAAGGAAAGGAGAGGCTTCCTTTCAAGGCCAACCGTCATGGGGATGTACGTCAGTCAACACAGATGACGACGTACGTCAGATTCCAAGGAGAAGGAGATTGCTTCATTCTAAGGACACATCTGGGGACGCATGCCAGAAGACTCAGAGTGGCGACGTACGTCGGGTATAATCCTGCTTCCTTTTGTCCGCATGGGGGATGTTCGTCCTCAAGGTACCAAACAAGGAAGAAAGATCAATGCATCCCAAGAACCGTCAGGGGACGTACGTCAGGAGACACGGTGGTGACGTACGTCGGGTATAATTCTTCCCTTCGTCCCCGTGGGGGACGTTCGTCCTCATGCTATCAACCTGGAGAGGAGATAACACTATTCCAAGGACAACTGTCATGGGGATGTACGTCAGGAAACATAGAGGGAAGACGTACGTTGGATTCTTCTTCCTTTCGTCCCCGTGGGGGATGTTCGTCCTCATGCTACGAACCTGGAGAGGAGATGACAGTATTCCAAGGACAATCGTCATGGAGACGTACGTCAGGAAATATAGAGTGAAGACGTACGTCAGATTCTTCTTGCTTTCGTCCTCATGGGGGACGTTCGTCCTCATGTTACGAACGTCAGGAAACATAGATTGAAGACGTACGCCAAATTTTTCTTCCTTTCACCCCGTGGGGGCCGTTCGTCTTCAGGGTGCAAAACCTGGAAAGGGGATTGCTGCATTCCAAGTAACCGTCAAGCGACGTACGTCAGGGAACACAGAGGGCGACGTACGCCGAGTTTTTCTTCCTTTTGCCCCGTGGGGAACGTTCGTCCTCAGGGTGCAAAATCTGGAAAGGGGATAGCTTCATTCCAAGTAACCGTCAAGCGACGTACGTCAGGGAACACAGAGGGCGACGTACGTCGGATTCCAAGGAAAGGAGATAGCTTCATTCCAAGGACAATCGTCATGGGGACGTACGTCTTCTTTATCGGCAAAATTTCAATCCAACATGCATGGTGCAGGGGGACGTACGTCGTCATTTGAAATATCCCAATATTTTCTGTCGAAAGGTTTTGAAGTGTGGACTTTATAAAAATTCCTCATTGATTGCTCGACGAGTCTACTCCCCCTCACTCCTCTTTTTTTTTTTGAAAGATGGGGGGAAGCTTCAAGAAACTTGGTTTCTTGGAAAGACTTGGTCTGTTTGGGAGGCAATGGAAAAGACCATTGGCTCCCCCTCGGTGTTTGACCTTTCGGGATCCGAGGGGTTTGAGAGTCGTTTCCTCGGTCCAAGAAATTGTCTTTTGCCTACCTCCCCTTGGGGGATGGCGCGGAAAACGTCTCGGTTTTGAAAGTCGTTACCTTAGCCCGAGACATCGTTTGTTGCCTGCTTCCCCTTGGGGGATAGCGCGAGAAGCGTTTCTTTTGTGAAAGTCGAATTTTTGGCTCGGGACATTGTTTGTTGCCTGCCATTCCCTTGGGGAATGACTCGGAAAGCGTTTTAGGGAAGGGTTTTATTTGCGTGTTAGACGCAAATGTCCGGAGGCACTTGGTGCTTCCAGAACCGATAGGTGGTGCCTTCGGTGTAGGGGCGTCCTCAAGGGGAACAACTTTGTTCTTAGCATAATGCCGGGGAGATCGAGAGGTCGTTCGTGATTCTGAGGACAACAGCACTGAGAGGTCATTCGTCGTGAAGGCAACGGTCTCCATCCTGGAAGGGATGGAGAGCCCTATCGCTATAACAACACTTCGGCATTGAGGAGCCGTTCTGGAGATAAATAATCACACCAAGGCAGAGAGGCCGATCGTGATATTAGGACGACGACAGTGATGGGTCGGCCGTCATCTAAAGGCGATGGTCCCCATCCTGGAAGGGATGGAGAGCCCTATCGCTAGCTCAAGACGTTTGGCGCTGGGGAGGCTGGTCTTGAAGTAAAGGATCAGATTGGACGCTCGTCTGAAGATGGACGACGACATTGAGAAGCTGTCCGTCGTAAGGGTGACCGTCCCCATCCCTGAAGGGATGGAGAGCCCTATCGCTGGCTCAAGACGTACGACGATGAGGAAACCGGTGTTGAGATAAAGAATCACGTCGATGCTGTTGAGCCATTCGTGATCTGAGGACGATGGCACTAAGAGGTCGTTCGTCGTGAAGGCGACGGTCCCCATCCTGGAAGGGATGGAGAGCCCTATCGCTATAACAAGACTTCAACGTTGAAGAGCCGATCTGGAGATAAATAATCACATCGAGACTGAGAGCCGATTGTGATATGAGGACGACGTCAATGAGGGGCCGGTCCGAAAATCCTTGCAACGTTCGCCATCCGGTAAAGGAATGGCTAAGACTGGTCTTGAGATATATGATAAGTTGGGGGGTTAGAACTTGGTTCCTTGAGGGACTTGGTCCCTTTTGAGGCGACGGTGCATTCCGTTGGTTCCTCCCTCAGGGTTAGCCCTCCGCATTCTGAGGGGTTTGAGATTCGTTCCTTCGGCCTGGGAACAAAATGGTCGGGGGTACTTGGTACCCCTCGGTTGTAACACTTGGCATCACCATGAATTAGAGCGCTCTCAAGGAAAGAGGTCGGGGGTACTTGGTACCCCTCGGTTGTGATACTTGGTATCGCCTTGAATTAGAGCGCTCCCAAGGAAGAAGGTCGGGGTACTTGGTACCCCTCAGTTGGTGTGCTTGATCGCTGGCCCAGCACTTGATGCCTTCAGTTTGACGAGGGCAAACCTTAGCTGCTAAATTCGGCTTTTTGGGGGTGCTCTTGTGTTCAAATAAAGATCACCAGAGGCTAGGTCGAGGGACCCAAAGCAAGCTCGGATCATTTAATAAAAATGCTCGGAGATCGGCCGTGAGGCCAAGAGCTTGGCTCGCACCACGTTGGGGGGCTTTGACCCGCTGATGACAGTGGTGATAACAAAATATAATAATGCGGTTATCATTTTTTGTTTTCTGAGGTTTGAGGGTTTCTTACTTGATTGTTCGACCTCTCAACGAGAGCACCAAATGACGGATAGTATATTCGGGGAATACCGTTGAAGGTATCTAGAGAGATGTCAGAACAAGTAAGAGAGAGTATGTATGTATTAAATGAAGAGTAGGTTTGTTATTTATAGCAACCATAAATGCTAGGTGCAATAAGTGAGGGTACACGTGGCAAGTAACCAGCGGTGGAGAGTCAACCCAGCCAGGGTGGCGCCGACATAGCATGTGGTCTCATTCAATGCGGTGGTTGGACGTGACACCACATTTAATGCGGTGATTTAGAGCATGTGGAGAGGAGATCCTGTCGAAGAGGGTGCCCTCGGCTACATAAACCCGGGGGCTGCATGTGCCGAAGGCTATGTATGAGTCGAAGGCTGCCCGTGCCGAAAGCCGTACGTCCCCAGGGGCCTTTTGGGCCTTGACGGCGTGCTGGGGACGTACGTAGCTGAGGAGGACCTCATGTGCTGAAGGACGTACGTTCCCTGGGGCCGTACGTAGCTGTGGAAGACTTCATGTGCAGGAGGACGTACGTCTCTCGGGGCCATACGTAGCTGGGTAGGACTTCATGTGCAGGAGGACCGTACGTAGCTGGAGCTCTTCATGTATTAGAGGACGTACGTACCCAGGGCCCTTCATGTGTTAGAGGACGTACGTACCCGGAGTGCCCTCATGTGCTGAGGGACGTACGTACCCTGTTGTAGTATGAGCTGTCCGGAGTCCAGTTTGGTGTGTTTGGACCACTTGGGTCTGTTGAGCCTAATTGTAGTAGTGTAAGTATGTGGGCCGGAGGTTCCTGTGTCATATACTCCATCAATTTCTTTCAAAAAAACGAAGATAGATCATGTGAAAGAGTATCTACCAAGTTTTGATCTCCTTTTGGTGTGTGGGTTTTAATCATATGCATATTTGAACCATGGATTGCCTTTTTTTTTGAAAACTGCATTGCATTTATTTATGTTTTCACTCTAAAAAGTTTGTTTTCATCTCTTGGTCAGGGAGATGTGGTATTTCTTTCTCCCCCGTGGGGTGGCCCCGCATATAAGTTGAGAGACACCTATACCCTAGACCTCCTGAAACCAAAAGATGGGTATGCTCAGCTGCATCTACAAACTTATGCTTTCAAACCATCAATTTAGCCATTGCTTTTGCTATATTCTATTGCTCGGAAACTAACATAACTTTATTATTTCTGTAAACACTGTCATTTTTGTGAGCTTGGAAAGTTCTCTTTGAGGTTCCTATCCACTCACTCAAATGGTGACTCGCCTCTAATATTAACATAAAAAACTTCCCATTTTCTCCAACTTCTATAACTTCATTTCCACTTATTGTCTCCATTTATCATTTCTTCTTCTTCTGGTATACAACTACGGTTTCTGTCACTCGTTGTTAGTCTTTCCACAACTTATCAGGCAAATTACTATTTATTTTTCCCGGGAATGTGGGAGTTTATTTTAGTAATAAATCAACAAAAGTGAAAGTCTTGTTTCGAATCAGAGATTACTACTAATTAGTCCATTATGTGGTTGCAGTTATTCACTATTTCAGGTTGCACACAACATTACAACGAATATTATTATGTTCTTGCCTCGTAACATGGACTTGATTCAAGTGGAACAGCTTGCTTGGTTATCTTCCCCCCCTCTACAAAACCAGGTATGTGGCTATTAGCTATACTATGGGGTTACACTGACATGTCTATCTTGTTTGATAGCACAGCAGTATTTTTTTCACCAAATAATGGTGTGCCGTAATTGTGTATTTTATACCTCACTACCTCAGATAGGTTATACTACGTATATATATGTGAAGTATTTAGTAGGAATCCTTATGTAATTCAAACTCATTTATTACTTATATGTATGATATCCAAGGTTATCACTCTGGTAAGCCTCATTATTATTCTCACGTGGTATCCAAGGTATTTACCTAATTTTTGTCTGACCATGCATTCCACGTCCGTCATCTCCTCTGCTTCTACGGCAGCGCTGGTCTCCATAGTTGCACCTCATACGGTGTCGTCGACTTCATTGCTGGTCTCCATGCCGGCTTCATCCCAATCACTGTTGACCTCCGACGCTGCTGGCCACTTTATGAAGCACCCATCAGAGAGCTCACCCATCTCCGCTTCATCCACGCTGGGTTTCGATTCATGGCTCCCACCCGTGTTCATGTTGACTCCTTATGCTTCAACGTTGAATGCCATGTTGTCTTCCCCTTTACTCATCTCTATGGAATCCATGGAATTCCTTCATCTCCATGCCAGCACGACCGTGGCAGAACAATTCGCCGGTCCCACTCTATTCGGATCTCCGGGTACTTTTCTACCCCGTTCGTTTGGTCCCATAGGGCCACACACTTCTGAGGCCTTTTACTCCCTCCTTGGCTATCCCAGTCTATGAGTTTTTCATATCCCAATATCACATATATTGTTACCACGAAATTAAAAATTATTGAAGATTATCTGCCATGGCAAACACAAGTTAAATCCTTTTAAGCTTCTCATGGTTTGGTTGGCCTGCTGGATGGCACTATCTGAGCTCGTACTTTATATATTTCTAATATTCATCATCACCAAGTTATAAGTTCTGACTATTATCATTGGCTTAAATTGGATCAAACTGTTCGTTTCTGGCTATTTGCTCCTCTTCCTCATGATGTTCTAATAGTGCATGAATTGAAAAGTTCCTTTACTATTTAGGGACGACATATGTATGCAAGTCTGGCTCATTGTATGGAGCTCAAGCACCTTCTTAGCCATGCTAAAAAGATCGAAAATCAATCAACGGTAATTCTAAAATAGAAGTACACTTTAATTTATTGCCAAAATAGGAGTTAACGGATGAGTCACCCGTTTCCTCATCCCATTATACCCTTCGCCCCATCTATTCATTTCTCTCGTACCTTCTGCAGCCATATGACTTTCCCCTCCATCTCCATCTACAGCTGAAGTTTGGTGTCTCTAAACTTCCCATCGAGCAACGAGTAGCAGCAACCTAGGTAAGTTCCGATCTTCTGTTTCTTCCTTCTCTGGCCTTCGAGCTTCTCTTTTTCCTCTTCTCCTTTCTTCTTTTTCATATTCTTCTCCTGTTCGATCCTTCTCCACCAATTTGTTCTCCACCCTTCATCTTATTTATACAATTTTAATTGTATGTTACAATTGATTTCAATCAATATTTTATTCAGTATTTTTAGGAATTTTATCAATTCAGGACCCGAAAGATATATGAATTATCAATCTGGGACCCGAAAGATGAAATGTTTTGATATAGGACCTGAATGATAGAAAACTATCAATTTAGGACTTGAATGATTGGAAATTATCAATTTAGGACCTAAGTTGTCCGAAATTTTATTAATTTTTTTATCTTAAATTTTTTAGATATTATTTAGTTTTATGAAATTAATAAACTTTTGTGAAGAAAAGTTTATCAAAAATTAGCAATGGAATTAATAAAAAATTAAATAAATCAAAACCTATGAAATTTTAGGTCCTAGATTGATAGTTTTTTATCAATCGGGTCCTATACTGATAGATCTCATCTTTCAGGTCCCGAATTGATAATTCATCTATCATTCGGGTCCTGAATTGATAAAATTCCTTTTATGTATGTTAACTCACCTTGCAATTGCCATTTTTAGTGTTTTAATTCAATTATCGATTAAAAAATATGATAGCTGTTTAGTACTAAGAAGGAGACATTACTCTGATTATTTGAAACTACAGTGTTAAAATGTCACCGACTCCACCAAGATGGCTATATTATGCCACTGCAAATCCAATAGTGTCATATTGTTTTCCACATAAAGTTTTAGTTTGACACATAGTGCAATTTATGTTGCACTAAAGTTCATGAGAATGGCAATATTTTAGCTTTGCAATGTTTATAATGCCATGGAATTGTGAAGATGGCAATAAGATTAGCATCATCTGTTTTAGTACAAATGCCATTAAGATGGCATTCCAATTGTATGATGGTATACTTTAGGGTACTCTATCCAGGATTGAGATTGATGGTGGTGGTGCCAAAAGTGGAGCTAGAAGAGCCGAAGGTGGCGTGGGATGAGGGGACAGTGGCACACGATCCGACAGCGATGCCGAATGAGGCGGCTGCGGAATGGTGACGGTGATAACGGCGACGACAGGTATCAACGGCGGCCGCAGCGGAACCAATGGCAACCGAGGTGGCTGCATCAGCGGCGGTGATGACGGGTGACGGCTGATAGAGACCTTGACTTATGGGCTTAATATTTTTAATAAAATGTATTAGTGGGCTGGGCCAAGTAATTAGATAGATTATGCGAAGCTTCATTTGGAAAAGAATAAATAGAAGGAATAGAAGAGGGAGAGGGTAGGTAGAATTTCAGTTGGAATTAGGCTGGGAGAATGAGGCCTCTCGAAGAGTCTCTATCTGATTCTTCTCTTTCTTTTCATTTCCGCCATTGCTGTGTGTGTAATTCGTGTGCTCATTCAGAATTCCTAATCAATATATTATTATTTCGCTACTGTGTTGGTTGAGTACCTATCAATGGTATCAGAGAAGTCGACCCCTTGGATAGGATTGTCTCGATCTGTCGTATTTTCCTATGGGGTGGTAAGTTTGTGAAGGTGGCTTGGGAAGACATTTGTCTCCCAAAAGAGGAAGAGGGCTTGGTATTCATAATGCCAAGGTGTGGAATCACGCCCTCCTCTCTCGTACTTTATGGGACGTCCATATGAAGAAGGACACCCTTTGGGTAAAATGGGTGAACGGGGTATACCTTCAAGGTAGAACCGTGTGGGATTTCATCCCACACACCCGAGACTCACAGCTCATGAAGCGGTTGAGTCTCATTCGAGACAAAATCCGAAGTTGTTTCAATAACCTCAATGACACTATTATGGGCCTTGCTTCTAGAACCACTAATGTTAAACTAGCATCCGCTAAGATTTACGATTTGTTAAGAGTCAACGGTGAAGTGCGGACTCCTATGAGTTTCGTATGGAAATCCTACATTCCCCCCAAATTCTCATTTAACGTGTGGTTGGCCCTGAGAAACCGGGTACCTACACATGATATCCCCGGTTATCTTTATATTGTGAATTGGTGTGATCTATTCATGGGTGGTTTAAAAACAATACCACACCTTTTCTTCCTATGCCCCTTTACTTGTAGGGTGTGGCATCACATAAGGAGCTGGTTGGGGCTAAGGCATGAGATGTCTACGTTGCTGAGTTCGATCAAATGGATCACGAAGACTTATAGAGGTTCGACGCTGAAAGCGAAAGCTGCCCGCACTGCTTTTTGTGCAATAGTGTACTACATTTGGCAAGCTAGGAATGAGTGTAGATTTGATGATAAGAAGATGGAGGAGGAGATTATTGCCAAGGTCAAACGTGTGGTATATAAGGTACTCTTCAGCATATACCCACATGATTTGATCATCTTTTGATGAGGCCACAATGAATTGTTTTGGGAACCTCGGAACATAGATCCGAAGTTTTGAGTACGTGCACCTAGCCGTATCTCTGCTCTGTTTTTGATTTTCTTAGCCGCGGCCTGTTGCGCTCTCTGGCTATCTTTTGTGATGTTGTTTGATTGAAAGCTTCTTCCAACCCTCTCCTATCTTAACAGGAGGGGATGGAGGGAGCTTTAAATTTTGAAACTTTGTAACCTTTACTTTGGATGGTATATATATTTACGGTTCATCCAAAAAACAAAGAGAAGTCGACCCCTTAAAACGTGGAGAGGCGCTCTGGTTTGCGCAAAGAACATCGACGGACAAAACTGGCTGCCTCTGGTTCATGCAGACAACTGGATAAGCGTTCGAACCTGGAGAAGGAGAAGCTCATGCAACATCGAAGATCCGATCAGGATGCTTCGCATGGAAAACTGGAGAAGCACTCAAATAGGGAGAACCACTCGAACCTGGAGAAGCGCGTGAATAAGGAGAAGCCGAGAAGCGCGCAAAGAGCAAGGAAAAGGTAGAAAGTGATTGGGAGAAAAATGAGAGGATCTGGTTGGACGAGTTGCGCACCAAGTTGCATAACGTCGCAGCCGTGGTCGATCGAGGACAGTTCGCTGTTGTCAGAATTTTGCAAGCATGGTATCACCATCATCGCTAAACACTCCTCTCTTAGAGTCATCGACCGGTTCCCAATTATCGTCCTTAGACGATTCTACCAGTCCGCAGGTATCTTCGGTAGTCGATGCCTTCAGTTCGCAGGCTTCCTCACTCGCCATATCTCAGAGCTCGTCCTCATTTATCGCTCTTCACCCTACGTCAATTTCATTGGTTGCAAAAACCTTCGATGTTTATCCTAGATTACAAGGATATTCGCAAGCAGCTTCACACAGGGCGCAAGCCTCATCAATCCTAGAGGAGTCATCCACTTCCAGAGCCATGGACCACTTTGAATCAGAAAATGGATCACCAGGAACTCAGCCGCCTACACTGACCACGGAGTTGATGCCGGTTGTACCCTCAGTTCTGGAACCTGATAATGATGATGATCTTATTCAACCTTCGGGTAAGGAATCTATTCAACCTGCTGAAGTTCCTCAGGATCCTATTCCTGAAGTGCATTCTGTTGCTGCAAGAGGTATTGGCTCTATTATAACGGGAATGGGGGAAAAAAACTTCCCAGACTTGGCGCCTTGGCTGTTGTTAGATACTATAAAATCTGAGGGTAGCAATGTTGGGCTCTATGGAGCTGCACAGGGTCTGAGCGGGGTGAGTCATAGGTGTGAAGAGATTGATCTGATAGCTGCAGTTCCTGAAGCTTCATAAAGAAGTCTGAGAACTGCTATACCTTCACAGTCCAACTTAGTAGTTGCTATTGCGTATACGGAACCCTTGGAAGTAAACAAGGAGGGTGCCTTTCACTACTATAAGAAACCCTCTGACCAACTATTTTTTATCACAGAGGAGAAAGTGGAAAACATTAAACTGCTGCTGGTTTACTTCGAAATGTATTGGTACTCGTAAAGAGGTTCTTACAATGGGAGGGATTGATGGAAGAAAAATTACAGATAAAGGTTCTTCTGAAGTAATTGAAAGTGATGCTGAATGTAATAGTCAGTGGGTCGATGCTCCCGATAATCCGACTGATGAACTGTCCTCAGAGGTTGTCTTGATGGTCAGTTGTGCTCTAGTTGCACCAAGAAGCAAGTTAGTTGGGCATCTTATTGTCATGAAGAAATTATGGTACTTCTCGGGTGAATTTTTAATGGAAGAAATTGGTGGATCAATTGTTTTTAAGGACTTTGACTTTTAAGTTATGCCTGAGATAGGTAAGGCCGAACAGGAAGGTGGAAATCAGAAACAGAAACTACTTGAGGGGCCTGGCAGTTATGCTCATGAAGTTTAGTCGCTGGTCAAGGTGTTGGAATCTTGTGTTGTGGAGAACACTAATTGCTATTCATTGAGCATGTATCAGGACCTGCTGGGGTTACAGCACTTTCTATTGATGGATGGGTGAATATTTTTACCTATGCTGTCTTGAGGCTGACAATATTGAATAGCAAGAGGTTGGAAAAGATAATTGTGCATAAACTGGAGGATCAGGTAAAAGTCACAGATACAACAGAGAGGACTCAAGCAGTGGCGTGGAAACCCGATATTGCAGTGATGAATGTTGGGCATGATGTTTTTGTATCTATAACTGTGCCCAATCCCATAACGGACCAGTCACAACCTTTTCTAATAGGGAAAGAAATTGGCGCATTCTCACCTGTTACTGTTTCGCTGAAACCGGGGCAAACTGTTTCTGGAGCTCTTAAGGGGGAAGGTTCCAACTTCCAATCAACGAAGCACTGAAGGTACTAGAAAATTTACCCTGAGGGGTGTGGAGGTACTTCCTATAGGGACTGTGGTTGCTGCTGTACCTGCTTCTATTTGACGTGCTGTTCTGGATGCATCTCGAGGTTCTATGGAATTCTTCAACTTGTTATTGCATAGAGTTCGGCATGTCACTTCTGAAAATAAAGTTCAGGTTTGAAATTTGGAAAACAAACACTTGTTTTTATATTAAAGTGGGAGCCAAACATAACCGCATTCTCTGTTAGCTATGACACTCATTACATGTGTAGAGGGGATGAATATTGTTATATGTATGAGCTGAAATGTGAGACAGAGAAAAGACATGCTGTAGAATTGCCATATTATGCTCCTCCATCCTATGTGGATTTAACTGCCAGCCAACTATCTATTGTTACTTTGCTTCTTCACTCAGGTAATGATCTGGATGTATCAAAAGATGAGGATCGAAAGTTGAAAGTGGTTTCCGGGATTGGTGGCAGAATAATATCCATGGAGCATCTTCCTACTGAAACTCAGTGGCTTTACGGCCAGAGTAGATATAAACGGGTATGCAGAATATAGTGGATTTGTGTATAGCTCTGCAGGATGCATGGAAGAGTATTATGTCATTAAAAAGGATCAAGAGCATGCAGGAGGAGTCAAATCTTTTGCATTACAAGGAAATAAGGAAGTTTTGGTTCAATGGAGACAACTGATTTTGAAGATTTTTGGGAAGGTTTCATACTGTCTCTCGATCTTTACTGCTAATACAGTTCAAGATATACTCCGCATCCGTTCTGTTCTGTTTGAGTTGTGCATAGCTATTCGTTCGCATGTTCAGCTTCTGTGTAATAATGTGTGTGCTTCATATTTATCAGCTAATCCTATTCAACATGGTCGCAATAGACATAACATATTAATATTGATTATCGTTTTGTTTCTGAGAGTTTCACATGGAGATCTAGTTGTTCGTTATGTTCCTACACATCTACAGCTTGTGGATATTTTTACCAAGAGTCTTCTTCCACTACTATTTCTTTTTCTTCATGACAATCTGCACGTAGTCCCTCTGGCATAGATTGTGGGGGGCGTAATAATTTATTTTATGCCTAAAATAGGTTTTGTATATTTAATAGGAATCCTTGTGTAATTCAAACTCATTTATTACTTATATATATGATATTGGTTATCGGTCCGGTAAGCCTCATTTTTATTCTCATAACGCCCACCTCATTTTTATTCTCATAACGCCCACCTCATTTTTATTCTCATAAATGCCCTTCACACGTTACAAAACGACCTTTGTTGTGCAGATTGAAAAAAACAAGCTTCACGGTCACATGAAAGGCATAACCGCTTATTTTGGCGATATTGCAACACCTTAACTCGGCTCAGTTCGGCTCGGCTCAGTTCGGCTCGGCTCAGCTTTATTCATTAAATTAGCAATGTACGCACAATCCTGATAGATGCCCAAAGTTATGAGTAACGAGCAGTCACATTTGACAAATGTTTTATTTTGAAGGACAATGATGTCCTTTAAACGTATAAAAATTGGAAGTTCGTAATGGTAGCTATACTCCGTATAAAACTTCAAGTAACCTCTTTATCATGCAGTGGTTCAAATTAAACAAATGCAAAAAGTACTAATATTTGGGGTATAATGTCACTGAGGGGTGGACTGGGCTGGGTCGGCCTGACCCAGGATCCGGCCCGGCATGGCTTGGTGGACCGGGACTGGGCACAAATTAGAGCATTAATGTGGCGGGCTACGGGCTTGATAAATAAATAATGAACCGACTCGGTTGGGCCCAACGGATAGAATTTTAATTTTCCACCCTTTTGATAGTTTTGAATTTGATTTGAGCTGTTGCACTCTCCTAGCCGTTGCCAATGGCCATGGAGCCGTTAGGGGGGGGGGGGGGGGGGTTGGGAGGTTTGGGGGTGGGGGTGGGGGTGTTGGGGTAAAAAACCTATAAATAAACCTATTTCCGAAACATTTTCCTACACCTATTCTCCAATTGTTCTTACTCTCTAATACTAATCATTTTCATCTTCTCCAATTCTCTACACCAATTAATATATATCATATCTATTTAAATACATATATTATATCTACTTATTATCCACTCAAAAACTTAATATCTACTTACTATATACTTATTATCTACTTAATGTGTATTTATGTACTCATTATCTACTTATATTTACATATATAACTACTTATTTATTAAGTATATATATTAAAGTACTTCGTATTAAATATAAGTGTACTATTCATCTTATAGTAGTATGCTTATATACTACATACTATCCTCCGTTCTTTAATTCTTGCAACAGTTTGACTTTCACGTTTGATAACGCACAACTTTGATTGTAATTATATTTAATTATGTGTTAATAAACATTATAAAAGGTTGATATTTTGGAAATTCACATTGATATGAATTATGGATGGACTCGGGTCCGGGCCGGGTCGGGCCTAGGCCCGGGCGGGCCGGCGGGTCAGAAATGGTGGACCCGGGACCGGACCGGGTAACCACCGGGTCTGGTCCGGGTCCGGGCTGGGTTGGGCCCATTATATTTTTTTTGGTTTTCCTCTTCCTAATTAACCCCCCTCCCACCCCCAAACCACCCCAAATGGCCCAAAATACCCAGCCCAACCCGAAAATTTAAAAAAAAATTGAAAAAAAAAATAGTTTTTGGCCCGAACCGGGCCCGGGCCCGGCCGGGTCGGGCCTTGTTTTGGGTGACCCGAGCCCGGACCGGAAAACCCACGGGCCGGGCCTACCCGGACCGGTCACTGACCGGGCCACCGGGCCGGGCCGGGCCGGAACAGTACCGGTCCCGGGCCGGTTCCGGGTCGGCCACCCGGCCCGAGTCCATCCCTAATATGAATTCAATAACATTTTATACGTAATAATTTGATTATGTATACTAGCAGAAAATCATGGTCAAAGTAAGGTTCGTGAATAGTGCAAAAATCACAATGTTGCAAGAATTAAAGAACGGAGGAAGTATTATATACTATAAACATTCTATTATATATTAGTTAGTTAAAGTATAATTTATAGTTTAACTAATGTTCATTAATACGTAGTATTAGTTAAATTAATCCCATTAGTTACACTTTTATTAATATTGGTTAAGTTTATCCTATTATTTACACACTCACACTCCAATTATTTTTTATTTTTTTACCCCGGAAAGTCAACCACCAAAATCAGTAGGGTAAATGCCAAGGAATATTTATCGGATTTTATTAATGAAAATAACAATGCAAAAATTCGGGGGGACCAAACCTTACTCGAAAGTAAAAATAAAGAAATTAAGCTCTAAATGAAGGAATAAATAAATTTCAAAAGTTTTGTTAACAAAAGTTGGAAGTAAAGCTACTCTAAAATAAATTTCAAACTATCCACCCTATCCTGGGCCAAATGGTGTGCGGCCCAGTTTCCTTCACTGTATGCCCAAAAACCATCTGTTTCCTAATTCGCATCCATAAGATTTCCTGATGTTCATCTGTTCATCTTCTTCCTTCCTTCCCCGCAATATACCCAGCACTACCACCGAATCAGATTCACCCTGTATCTCTTCATAACATGCATCCGCTGCCCACCTTGTAGCAAAGAAAATGGCTTCGAGCTCGACATCCAAAGAAGACTTCGCAATCAACGGAAAGCTAAGAGCTGAGACAAGATCACCATTTCTATCTCGAACGATAGCTCCTCTACTCGCTCTGTCAGATAAGTAACTTGCATCCACATTTAGTTTCCATCTCTTGATTGGTCTGTTCCATCTGATTATTTGTGGTTTGAAACCATTGAGCTTGAAATTCTTGGGAATTAGACCCTCTTCGAAGAGCATGTTGCCAATAACCCCGATTTTAGATGTGGAAATACTAACAACCCAATTTTGTGTATAAGCTTTAATTCGAAGAATGATTTGGTCCTGAATTAGGGACCTTTCCCCTTGATCCCCAAATTTGCTTCGCATAAATTTTCCAGATTATCCAACAAATAACTCCCGGAAGGTCTCTTAAAAATAGCAATCAGGCTTTTTTCTGCACACCCTAATCTCCAGTAGCCAAATTGTCCATAGTCCATCCCAGGTCTTTGAAAAATACCAAAGATGCTCAAGAAGTATTGCCAAACTTTTTTAACCACCGTGCATTGAAAAAAATAATATGTTGCATAGAATCACTACTTCCTTTACACAAAGGACACATTGAAGGATTAAGTGTTGGTCCCGGTTACACAAGGAACCGTCTAGAAGGGGGGGATAGACTGTTCTGGTTTTTGACCTTTTCAAGTCTAAGTACCAGACTTAACAGAATGGCCAGTTCTTAAGGAGAACTAACTGGCAGCGGAGTCTTCTGAGGGGTATCTGGTAGGACAGTAGCCTTCAAACACACTAAGACAATTGCCTTTCTGTCAACTCTTAAAGACAAGATTTGCTGAACACAAAGTCCAAGTCTTTTAGAGTTAAGCAGTTAGAATCTAAAGCAAGTATCAAGTGCAATAAGTAAATGACACCAGGGGTTTTTATAGTGGTTCAAGGAACAACTTGTTCCTCTAGTCCACTGTTCCACTAAGCTTGTAAAGGATCAAATTACACACCCTTAGTCCTAGCACTTAAGAAGCACTCCACGTCTTCTTCAAGCTTAGTTTCCACCCGAGATGCTCTTCCTAGCTTCCTGATGACTGATCTCTTTTCACCGAGCTTCTTGAAGTATACCCACTTCATTACTCCAGTTACTTTGAGACGTCCTTCTTAAACAAGAAGATGGTTTGAATAAAAAAGGATTTTCTCAAACGTCTCTTCGTGAAAGATGTGTAGTTAAAGCTTTGGAAGTGTAGAAGAATCGGAGGAACTTTCTTTGAGTTGGTTTGAAGGATATGAGAATGTTATCTTCCCAACTCCAAGCTTGATCTCTTGTGAAGGTGAAGGAGATGTGATCTCAAGAGTATTTGATAGCTTGAATCAGTGTTCGTAGAAAGTTGTTCCAACAGCCCTTCGAAGTGTATCATATATACTGAAAGATGTCTTCCCGTTGGAGTGTAGAAAACATCTTCATTAAATGCATGCACTGTTGACGTGACTGGTTGGTTCCAGTAAAGTAGCCGCCTTACTATGTTGGGAAGAATTAAATATAATTCTCGTGGATTCTTGGTCAATCATGTGCTATAAATATCTCAACGTGTGGAAGCCATTAAATGAGCATTTAATGCGTGAACAGTATCACTTTCGTTGAGAGGCTCTTAGCCGTTAGGGAATTTCCCGTTAGTTGAACTACTTAGGTAGCGAAAACTGAATTCGTCTAAGTGTTGAGCAGCTCTAGGAGGTCTTCTGTAGGAGAAAAGATCTATGAAGCCTTTGAGCAATTCTGTTGAAATTACTAAGTCGGAGCCGTTTTGTTGAGTAGAAGTACCAGAAGACCTGAGTCTTCTGTTCTGTCGAATAATACTTAAACTTAGAAAAATTCTAATACAAATTTTCTAACGGGGTACTCCAAAGTCCTAAATATTCTAGCATCATCAAAATCTAAAACAATATATTCCTTACATTAAGTACCAACTGAAACCTGCTTAAGTTGTCAGAAGTAGGTAAAATTCCTTGAAATTTTCCACTGAAGTAGTTTAGCCTTAAGCTCTTGATGGTATCCCAAATCTGTTGATAAACCCGAGAGTTGAATGATAGCTGTGTCACATCCTCAAAAGCAAATTTGAATGTAAATCGACCATCCTCTTTCTCATTCCAGGTTAATTTGCCAGATGCATCCATGGAACAGAGTTCTGAAGCATGATCATTAGCTGAGCATATCCTCTTCTATACAACCGAATCTGTAAGCTTAGGTACCATACTTCCTTCCCTATCATATTTGGCTTTCATTATTTAATTCCAAAGAGTATCACCTGATTTCCCCTTCCGCCACAATTTGAGATTAAAAGCCTTCTTAATATCTGATAAAGATCTGATCCCTAATCCCTAAAGATCATTGATTTCCACTTTATCCAATGATAATTCTTTTTTTCATGAGAAGAACCCCAGAAAAAAGAAGCCATCTTACTGGTAAGTACCTTAATTACTTTCTTTGGTAAGGTATCCACAACTATGTCAACTAGTAATTAAGCACATATTTGATGAGAATAAGTCTTACATTTATCCTATTAGTTACTCTTGTCATTAATATTATTAGTTAAACTTTCTCATTTGTCACCTTTAATATTTGTTACATTCTCATTTCATAGATATTAATATTAAGCATATTAAAGTTGTTAGATGACTTAGATCAAACTATTAAAGTGGTTTCATTTTAGTTAATACTTGTTACATTATCATATTAATTAACCATATTTGTTACATATTAATATTAGTCATAAAATTTGTTAGCTTAAAATATTAAAGTAGTTGCATTTTAGTTAATTTTACAATACTTGTTTCATTATCATATTAAATAATCATATTTCTTAGATATTAATCATATTAAACATGTTAGATTAAACTATTAAAGTAGTTCCATTTTTAGTTAATTTTACTATACTTGTCACATTATCGCATTATCATATTAATTAACCATATTTGTTACATACTAATATTAATCATATAAAAGTTGATAGCTTAAAATATTAAAGTACTTGCATTTTAGTTGGAATTTATCTCACAATTCAATATTTTATAGACTTGTAGATTAGTCTCATTTTAATATAAAAGTCACTTTTTTATTAAATTATGACATTACTTACATTTTAATATAAAAGTCACATTTTAAGTATTGTTACAAATTACTTAGATTTTTTATTACTTGCGTTGTATTTGTACTCACATTAACATATTTGTTAGAATTTAATATTTGTTACATTTTAAGATGGAATGAGGTAGACATCCTGTAGATATAGGTAAACCTCTATCCTAGTTCGCGCAAAGGAAAAAGACATATCGGGTATTCTTCTCAAAGTCAAAATGATTTTGAAACGATGTACGACTGTAGAGATGCGATGTCTGACGCGCAACTACAAGAACTATTGGCCCAACGGGATGGACGTTTCCCCACATTGAGGAAGAGCTCGAGAATGACGACGTGAAGGAGGATGATCCTGCAACGGCCGACGACGAACAAGACGGCTCTCAAACCCCAGACGATGACACCCCCGACGAGGACGAGCCTGGTTCATCCCAACCTGATAAGAAAAATGAATCTCTCCTTATGAAAAATAATTTCAAAAAGTGGAAGGAAACAAATAGAAACAAGTGGTGGGCAACTTGCAATCATTGTAACAAAAACATAAGCTTGGGGATTTCGCAAGGATACAACGGCGCTCATAGGCATGCCAAGGCCCATCACTCTATGGAGTATACAAAACTAAAAGGCAAGGGAACGCGAACACAAATCTCGAGGTTTGCAAATAGCCAACCCTATGATAATTTCTCTTACGATAGCTTAAAATATAAAAGTACTTGCATTTTAGTTGGAATTTATCTCACAATTCAATATTTTATACACTAGTAAACTAGTCTCATTTTAATATAAAAGTCACATTTTTATTAAATTATGACATTACTTACATTTTAATATAAAAGTCATATTTTAAGTATTGTTACAAATTACTTTCATTTCTTATTACTTGCGTTGTATTTGTACTCACATTAACATATTTGTTAAAATTTAATATTTGTTACATTTTGAGATGAAATGAGGCAGACACTCTATAGATATGGGTAACCTCCAACGCAACTGAAAGAAGGAAATTGAGAAGAATCATCCTAGTTCGCGCAAAGGTAAAGGACATATCGAGTCTTCTTCTCAAAGTCGAAATGATTTTGAAGCGATGTACGATCGGAGAGACGCGATGTCCGATGCGCAACTACAAGAACTATTGGCCCAACGGGATGGACGCTTTTACCAACAACAAGACATCCCCGACATTGAGGAAGAGCTTGAGAATGAGGACGCGAAGGAGGATGATTCTGCGATGGCCGAGGACGAACAAGACACCTCTCAAATCCCGGACGATGACACCCCCGACGAGGACGAGCATGGTTCATCCCAACCCGATAAGAAAAATGAATCTCTCCTTATGAAAAATAATTTCAAAAAGTGGAAGGAAACAAATAGTGACAAGTGGTAGACAACTTGCAATCATTGTAACAAAAACATAAGCTTGAGGATTTCGCAAGGATACAACGGCGCTCATAGGCATGCCAAGGCCCATCACCCCGTGGAGTATGCGAAACTAAAAGGCAAAGGGACGCAAACACAAATCTCGAGGTTTGCAAATGGCCAACCCTATGATAATTTCTCTTACAATAGCTTAAAATATTAAAGTACTTTCATTTTAGTGGGAATTTATCTCACAATTCAATATTTTATACACTTGTAGACTAGTCTCATTTTAATAAAAAAGTCACATTTTTATTAAATTATGACATCACTTACATTTTAATATAAAAGTCACATTTTAAGTATTGTTACAAATTACTTGCATTTTTATTACTTGCGTTGTATTTGTACTCACATTAACATATTTGTTTGAATTTAATATTTGTTACATTTTAAGATGAAACGAGGTAGACATTCTGTAGATATGGGTAACCTCCAACGCAACCGAAAGAATAATCATCCTAGTTCGCGCAAATGTAAAGGACATATCGAGTCTTCTTCTCAAAGTCGAAATGATTTTGAAAAGATGTACGATCGGAGAGATGCGATGTCCGACGCGCAACTACAAGAATTATTGGCCCAACGGGATGGACACTTTTACCAACAACAAGAAATCTCCGACATTGAAGAAGAGCTCGAGGATGAGGATGCGGAGAAGGAGGATCCGGTGACGGCCGAGGACGAACAAGACGGCTCTCAAACCCCGGACGATGACACCCCTGACAAGGACGAGCCTGGTTCATCCCAACCCGGTAAGAAAAATGAATTTTTCCTTATGAAAAATAATTTCAAAAAGTGGAAGAAGACAAATAGCGACAAGTGGTTGGCAACTTGCAATCATTGTAACAAAAACATAAGCTTGGAGATTTCGCAAGGATACGGCGGCGCTCATAGGCATGTCAAGGCCCATCACCCTGTAGAGTATGCGAAACTAAAAGGAAAGGGGACCCAAACACAAATCTCGAGGTTTGCAAATGGCCAACCCTATAGTAACTTTTCTTATAGTCAACAGGAAACGTTAGATACAAAGAAAGCTCGTTAATCGAGCTTTGTGCAACAACATGAGTTGATTTACTTTTTTCATAAGATTGCTAATTGTAGATTTACCATATTGTACATGAAACTCATTATATAATTGATGAAATAAGTTACTAACCTCGTTTTATTGCTCTTTAGGATCTATGGGCTTATCTTCGTACATAGGTAATGGACCAAAAAAAGAAGCATAATAGTAATCTAAACAATTTTGAAAAGCATTAAGTTTGAAAGGAGGCTCAAGAATAATGCAATACCATATATATGTGGAGTATGTGGATAGTATTTTAAAAAAAAAATATTCATGAAAGAACAGAAATAATGAACGTAAGGGGCAGTTTCAAATTCAGAAAAGCACCGGCGAGTTTAACAGCTTCAACATAAAATTGGTTTGCGGTAGGTTTATAGACATGACTAAAAGTTTGAGTTGCATTATTAAAATGTATCAAAACATTGACAATTTTTTGCATAGTGTCGATGTCAGCCGGATTATAATATAGTTAGCATATTCTTTTAAAAAACAGCAAAATGGGTTTTAAGTCTAATAAGTATAACAATTAAGTTATAAGTATTATTCCAACGAATAGACAAATCTTTAGGAAATTGACAATATTTCACACGTCTAACCCTCAAATATTCACGCCATTTCATTTTAAGTTGATTACTAGCCCAAATTAGTCTAATTCCCCCCTTCACTATCTCCATAGTATCTCATAACGCGGCTAACCCGTCTTTTACACATAAATTGAGAATATGACATGCACAACGGTGATGAAAAAACCTATCCATCAAAGTAGGAGCATACAATTCACGCAATCTAGGTATAGCAACAGTATTATTACTAACATTATCAAAACCCATAACAAACACCTTATCAATCAAATTATACTCAATTAAAATACACTCAATGAGAATATAAATATTATCACCAGTGTGTCGGTCATTAAACTCACGAAAAGTAAGAACACGTTTATGCATTTTCCAATCATCGTCAATATAATGTGCAGTCACCCAAATAATACAAATGATGATAAGTATCCTCCCATATATCACTACAAATACTCACGCCCATCAAAGTTTGCGATTTTTTTTAATCTATCCTTTCTAAAGCATATTGCCACTTAACTTCTTTTTTAATAGTTTTGCGACCATAATTTCTAAATTGAGGATTTAAAGAACCTTGAGTATAAGCTTTCAAAGAAAGACTTTCAGAAAAAATAAAAGGTAAATTTTCTTCAACAATTAAGTGAGATATAGCAGTCAAATGTTTGGAATCATCATAGGAGAAATTACCAAAGAGTTGGCCAGTTGAAAACCTCGATATCTGTGTTTGCTTCCCCTTACCTTTTAAATTTGCATACTCCACGGGGTGACGACCCTTAATCTCCCTATCGATGTCGTGTATCCTTGTGATATCCCCAAACTTATACATTTGGAACAATGCTTGCAAGTTGCCCACCACACTAAGGTTTAAGTGTCCTTCCACTTTTTAAAATTATTTTTGATAAGGAGAGATTCACCTTGCTTACTGGGTTGGAATGAACCAGTCTCGTACTCGTCGGGGGTTCCATCGCCGGGGTTCCATAGTCGCCTTGATCCTCTTCGGCGTCGTCATCCTGGAGCTCTTCATCAATCTCAGGAATGTCTTCTTGTTGGTAAAACTGCTCATGTTCTTGGGCCAACAGTTGAGCCAATTGCTCGTCAAACATCGCATCTCTCCGTTGATAATCCGTATCAAAATCATTTTGGATTTGTGAAGAAGACCCGACATGTCCTTTGCCTCGTGAACTATGATGGTTTTTCACAATCTCTTTCTTTCAGTTGCGGTGGAGGTTACTCATATCTACAGAATGTCTACCTCGTTCCATCTTAAATATAAACAAATATTAAATTGTAAGAATTATGTGAATGTGAGTACAAATACAATGCAATTAATATAAAAATGTAACTAAAACATCACTTTATGTAAGAAAATGTGACTTTAATGTAACTAAAATGTAAGTAGTTTGTAACAAATACTTATTTGTGAGTACAATTAAAATGTGACTTTTATATCAAAATGTAAGCAATATTATAATATAATTAAAATGTGACTTTTATATTAAAATGTGACTACTAAAATTAACTAAAATTCCAACAAGTTTAATAAATAGTTTAATCCAAAAAATGTAGTAAAATTAACTAAAATTCCAACTAGTTTAATTAAGAGTTTAATCTAACAAGTTTACTAAAATTAACTAAAATTCCAAGTATTTTAATAGTTAAATGTAACAAGTGTATTAAAATTAACTAAAATTCCAACTACTTTAATAAATAGTTAAATCTAACAAGTGTAGTAAAATTAACTAAAATTCCAACTAGTTTAATAAAGAGTTTAATCTAACAAGTGTACTAAAATTCCAACCGGCTTAATAGTTAAATCTAACAAATGTAGTAAAATTAACTAAAATTCCAACTACTTTAATAGTTTAATCTAACAAGTGTAGTAAAATTAATTAAAATTCCAACTAGTTTGATAAGTAGTTTAATCTAACAACGGTACTAAAATTAACTAAAATTTCAACTACTTTTATATTTTAATCTAACAATTTTTATATGATTAATATTAGTATGTAACAAATATGGTTAACTAATACTCATTCCGTATTTTAAAGTTTCTTACATTAGCTTTGGGCACACAATTTAAGATGAAATAGTAGGGGTAGAGTAAAGTGATAAAGTAGGAAAGAGAAGATAAATGATAAAGTAGAATATAAAAGATAAAGTAGGTGAAAGAATGTAATTAAAAGAGTAGTGGGTAGGATAGAATTGAATGAGGATAAAAAGATAAGGGTAATAATGTATTTTCATAGATAAAACTTTCCTTAATGAGAAAGTGTATGGAATTTTTAAGTACAACCCAAAAAGGAAAGTGTATGCAACTTTTAAATATGGAGGGAGTATCATAATGTGACAAGTATAGTAAAATCAACTAAAAAAGCAATTAATATTACTATGTAACAAATGAGAATGCAACAAATATTAAAGGTGACCAAATGAGAAATTGTAACTAATACTCCCTCCGTCCCGCAAAGAAATTCCTAGTTTGACCTACACACATATTTATGTAAGGTAGAGTTTTATTTTGACTTTCCAAGTATACCCTTACTTTATGTCAAATCAAAAAAAAAGTGGGAAAAAAGTAAGGGTAGTTGTGACTTTTTGGTTAAAAGTAGTTTCCTTTTATAGAAATGAGAACTTTTTTTTGGGACATCCATAAAAGGAAAGTGGGAACTTCTTTGCGGGACGGAGGTAGTATATAATATGATGTTTATAGTATATAATATATAAGTATACTACTATAAGATGAGTAGTACACTTATATTTAATACTTTAATATATATACTTAATATATTAATTAGATGTAATATATGTAAATATAAGTTAATAACAAGTATATAATAAGTAGATATTAAGTACATAAAAAGTATATATGAAGTAGATAATAAATATATGTAGATATATTATATGTTTTTATAAGTAGATAATAAGTACTCCCTCCGGTTCCAAAAGATCTTGACACTTTGACTTCACAGTTTTTAAGGAAATAAACACTGTTTGACACTGTTTTGTGTAGATTTATTTGCCAAATAAGGAAAATAAGGAAGTGTAAAGATCTTTCTGGTACTGCTAAAAATGGAAAGTGTAAAGATCTTTCAGAACCGGAGGGAGTATATAAGTAGATATATTAGTTGTATACCTAATATATAATATAATGTTTATAGTATATAATATATAAGTATACTACTATAAGATGAGTAGTACACTTATATTTAATACTTTAATATATATACTTAATATATTAATTAGATGTAATATATGTAAATATAAGTAAATAACAAGTATATAATAAGTAGATAATAAATATAAGTAGATATAATATATGTATTTATAAGTAGATAATAAGTACTACCTCCGTTCTCATTTTAACTTCCAAATGGGTTTGACACAAAGTTTAAGATAGTGGATATTGTGTGGTGGAGAGTTGTGCAGAGGAGAGAGAAATGTGTAAGAAATGTTGTGAACCACAAATTCTTTACCAAAAGGGAAAGTGGAAGTTTTAATTGGAACGGACGAAAAAGGAAAGTTGGAAGTTTATTTAGGAACGGAGGGAGTATATAAGTAGATATAATAATTGTATAAATAATTTAAATAGATATGATATATATTAATAGGTGTAGAGAGAATTGAAGAAGATGAAGATGATTCAAGAGTATTAGAGAGTAGAAAGAATTGGAGAATAGAAGTATGAAAATGTTTAGAAAATGAGAGTATTTATAGATTTTTATTACCCCCAGACCCCCTCCAACGGCTATAGAGCCCTTGAGACGAAAAATTGAAAAAATAGCCGTTAGGCCCGAACCGGTCCCTGACCGGCCCGACCAGCATTTTTAATGACCCGTAGTCCACCCCCCATATACCCGGTTCGGGTCCCCGGTCCCGGCCCCGCCCGTCCGGGCCAGGTTGGGCCTGCACAGTACCGAGCCCAGGCCGGGTCCCGGGTCGGGCCAACCAGTCTCAGTCCAACCAGTCTCAGTCCATCCCTACTTGTCGCTCGAGTTTGAGAAAATGAAGGACAACATCTAGCAATAGGAGACGGGGATATGAGAAGAGAAAGTAAAAGTAGGCTTTAATAGCCCAAAGTCTCTCTTTTGTCCGTAATAAAATAAAGTCTCATTTTTACCACTTAATAAGTTAATAGCCAAGTCTTATTTTAGTCATTGTTTCATGTGGAAATATTCGGACATAGCCCTTTTTGGGTCCACCATTTCATTTATGTCTACGGGTAAAATACTTTTCATATTCAAACTTTTAACTTTTCATTTTTAACTTCTTTATTTCAAAAATAGTCTAAACCTCTCTTTTCTTCGTCGTTTTCTCTTCCTCCAACTTCCAGGAGGCTCTTCCTTCCTCCGATCCCGTCTCTCACATACTGTCACTTCCACAATGGTGATCTTCGCCCGTTTCTCGAAGGCTAAATCCAGCTCGGTGATCTTCGGATTCTATCTCCTTGATTGACATATTGATACCCTATGAAATTGGTGGATTTCAATCCTATTGCTGCTTGCGAGTATGAATAGCTAGGGTGTTGCTGAGATCATCTTCAATAAGGAGGTTGATTGGATCGCCACCGCATTAATGTATTTTATCTTCATTTTTGTTTTGTTTTAACTATACACTTCCTATGCTCTAGAATTGATTATGTAATTGAAGATATCAATTTCTGCTTGTTTAATTGTTGCTTGTTTAGGTTTACGTAATTCAAGATATTTGTTGTTTGCGACTAAAATAATAGATTTACATTTGGACATTGCTCCTCCTACTTGCGTTGATGGCATTGGAGTCTTAAAATCAAAATGTGGTTTGCATGCTTTGAAGCTTTACGGAGTCTAGGTAGTTGTTCAAATTTCATTAAGAAGTGCTTTACTTTGTCGTGAGAGTCTAAAACCTTTAAAGGCTACTGGTTCAGAATATTGTTACAGAAGTACAGAACTACACACTACATTAAAGTTAGTTTCTCCATATTGTAGGAGTATATCATCTGCTGTGAAATACAACATTACAGGACAATCCAAAGATCATCATCTCTAGATAAGTAATGATGGGTTAGACAGAATTGTGGTGATGATAAACAAGGCTAAATTGGTATTCATAAAAATGACTGGTGTTTGGTTCATCAAAGACAAAGCAAGATCATAGTTTTAATTCCTTCCAAGTTTACTATAGATGCTTGTATGAGTTAGAACTTGTATATGTTGTTAAAGAAAAGGAATCAAGGGGTATAGCCTGATTCCTTCCAAGTTTTTGCATTTGCACTATTACGGAGTTCTAGAGCCTGGGCATAGACCCCACATTTTAACTACTGAGTAGTGACTAATCTGGAGCATCTAAAGTGCTTTTAGTTCTAATATCTATCTCATCTTCAGGCATGCATCCAACTAAGGAAGTGTATTAAGAGAATCTTCATTGTTGCTATTACAGAGAACAACTCAACTACTTGGCTCCTCTCCATCTTGAAGAACTCTTGACTCTCTTGAACTTTAGTAGAGGATGTAATTATAATTCTAGTACTTCAGTATGGATTGAAATTATATTTCTGATCATAAATGTAGAAAACTAAATTGAATTATGATTTCATTGAACTCTTCTATATGGTGTACTTATATCTTATTGTTTTGTTGTAATGGGTTACTTTTTTGTATCATGTTACATATTATTGCATCATATTTCATTTTGTTGCATCGTGTTTCATTTTGTTGCACCGTGTTTCATTTTGTTGCATCGTGTTTCATTTTGTTGCATCGTGTTTCGTATCGTTGGATCATGTTGTTGTTTTACTTTGTTTCCTTTTGTTTTATCTTGTTGCTTTTTGTTGTATATTATTTTACTTTTCATATTTTTCATATTTTATAATTATTAAACAAATTTCTCAATTATTTGGTATATTTAACTATTTATAATTAAATATGTTTTTATTACTTTTTAAAGATATATAATTTTTATTCTACTTTTAGTAAATTGTTTTATACGTAGTTTATTTTTACATTTTTTCAAATTTCTAAAAAAATCAACCACTTCTTAGCTTTTTTTAGTGTAAACGGAGTATTTAATTTATAAGCAGTTTTTAGTTTTTGTGTTTTGTTGTACAATAATTGTGATTTTTTGTCTAGTTATCTTTTTTACTGTTTTTCTTTTTGAAATTTAGAATTGTTTCAATAGACTTATCACCCTGATCATAAATACAATTAGTTAAACACCATGTGTGTTGGTTTTCTATTCCAAAGGATAAAAAATATATAGAAAGCAAAATAAAAAAGAAAGTGAAACATTAATAACCAATAAATAAATAATAAGATATTGGAAGTTATATGTAAAATAAAATAAAAAGCAACACAAAGCAACATTATGCAACAAAACAACAATATAATGACACTCAAAATAATTCTTTTAAATATATTTTAAAAGCATTAAATTACACAAAAGTTAAATTTGTACTTCAAAACTTTTTGTCAATGTTTATTTAATTTGAAATTTTTGAGATTTTCTTTTTGAAACTTTTTTTTATTTTATATTTTTCTACACCTTTTTTACTTTTTATATTTATATTTTTACTTTTATTAAAGTTTTTATTTTTTATTATTATAATTTTTTTATATGAATCATATTAACAATATAAAATTTACATTACAAAAATCATATTTTTATTTTTTACCATTTTTCTGGATTTTTAACTAAAGCTTTTTATATTTTTGTTATTCTCAAGCTTTATTTTTAGTCTATACATTTTTTTCATTTTATGGTGTATTGTTTAAAATTAGTGCTATTTAGTTTAACTTACAAGTTTTCAAATTTCATTTTTATTATGCATTTTTTGGCATTTTTATTTTTTGACTTTGAGAATTTTCTTTATTTTTATTTTTTAGTTTTTTTTCCTTTATTTTGCTTTTTAATAAGATTTTTCATTTTTTCCTATTTAATAAAAACAAAAATTAACTCCACTCTAAATTAAGTTACTCAAGTTTGTACGGAGCATTAATTTATACTTGTATTTAGGGATGGACCCAACCGGTTCGGCCCGGTCGGGAATCGGCCCGGCCCGCCACTGTGTGGGCCCGGAACCGGCTCGGCCCGCCACTGTGTGGGCCCGGAACTGGCCCGGCCCACCATTGTGTGCGTTCGGACCAGCCCGGTTGGTGCTAACCGGGTCCGGGCTTTTACCCGGTTGGGGAGGGGTGGGCGGGCCGGGCTCGAGCCCAGTATTTGTTGAACCGGCCCTGGGCTTTTTTTCAATTTTTTTGTTTTTCTTGGTTAGGGCTACGTGTTTTGGGAGGGTTTGGGGGGTGGGGGTCGGGGGTTAGTTAGAAAGCAAAAAAAATAAATAACTTGACCCAGGCCCGGCCCGGGCCGGTTACGGGCCCAACCATTTGAAAAAAAAGCCCGCCCGGACCCGGCCCGGGTCCATCCCTACTTGTATTAAATAATAATGGTGGTAGATCTGTCGGACGAGGGTTTGAAGGGTGGTGGTCGATTTATGAAAGGTAAACTAGTGGTGGACTCGGTTCGGGCTGGGCCCGGTTCGGGCCTTGAACCGGCCGGGCCTCGGTTCATGGATGGGAGGCCCGGAACTGGCTCGGATAACCCCGGGTCCGGTTCGGTTCGGGTCACCCGCCCGGTTCACGGGCCGGGCCGCCCGCCGGGCCGGGCCTTTTAATTTTTTTTATTATTATATATTATATTATTAGAATAATTCTTATTACAATTACAATATATTATATTCTAATTCAAGTATATTTATTTCAAATAAGAAGTACAATTGAGAATTATGATGAGTTTAAAAAATGTAATGCATTTTGTAATAAAAAATCAATCGAAATCTCCGCCTTCGGTTGTTTCCTCCATAAAGTGGCGGGTGGGAGCGATGGTAATTTCTTGAGTTCTTCGTTGGGCCTTCAACCAATCGTGAAAGCAAACTAGTGTCTCAAGAGAGCTCGGGCTCAACCTCGTTCTATAATCGGTTAGGACGTTGCCGGCCACACTAAATTCTTGTTCCACGGCAACGGTTGATATCAGCTTTGCTAGCACTTGCTTAGCCATCTTTGATAAAATCGGGAACGTTCTTTCATTTTCCTTCCACCACTTAAGAACGTCAAAGTCATCACCAACTTCATAATCAACATTCAATGTTAGATACAAAGAAAGCTCGTTACCTGAGCTTTGTTCAGTAGCGGGAGTTGCTCTACTTCTTTTCAAAAGAGAACCAAAAGCGGATTTTAAAAGTGATTTTCCTTTATATGAAGAAGATGTTCATTGCATGGGAGGGGGTGCATTACCATATTGTGCATGAAATTCATTATACAATTGATGAAATAAATTACTAACCTCGTTGAATTCTTGTTTAGGGTCGATGGGATTATCATCGAACTCTTTAGCCCAAATCAATTTAATTCTCCCCTTCACTATCTCGAAAGCATTTCCTAATGCCGCTAAGCCATCTTGTACACACAAATTTAGAATATGACATGCACAACGTTGATGAAAAAACCTGCCCATCAATGTAGAAGCACCACATAATTCACGTAATTTAGGTATAACAGCACTATTATTACTAGCATTATCAAAACCTACAGCAAACACCTTATCAATCAAATTATACTCAATTAAAATACGTTCAATGAGAATATAAATATTATCAGCAGTGTGACGATCATTGAATTCACGAAAAGCAAGAACACATTTATGCATATTCCAATCATCATCAATATAATGTGCAGTAAGACCCAAATAATATAAATGATGATAAGTATCCTCCCATATATCGCTACAAATACTAACACGTCCATCAAAGTTTGCAAAAAATGTTTGTAATTTTTCTTTTTCCAAGTTATATTGCCTTATAACTTCTTTTTTAATCGTTTTGCGACTATAATTTCTAAATTGAGGATTTAAATTACCTTGAGCATAATCTCTTAAAGCAAGACTTTTGGAAAAAATATAGGGTAAATTTTCTTTAACAATTAAATGAGACATACCAGTCAAATTTTTTTATCATCATAGAAAAATTACCAAAGGGTTGAGAATTTGCAAACCTCGATATTTGTGTTTGCTTCCCCTTGCCTTTGTCTATTTTCGCATACTCCACAAAGTGGGCGGACTTAAGATGCCTTTTGAGACTCCCGTATCCGCCAGAAGTTCCCAAGCTAAACTCTTTGTTGCAATGATTGCAACTTGCGTAGCATTTTTCGGTATTTTCGTCTTTCTTTTTTGTATAATTGTTTTCAATAATAGGAGATTTAGATTTCTTACCAATTTGGGTTGTAGTCGTTGAACGGCCCTCGTCCTCCAACTCTTGCTCATCATCCGGGGTGCCGTGAGTCCCGTCGCCCCCCGCGTCCTCCTCCGCATCGTCATCCTTGAGCTCCTCTTCATCAACGGTTGTCGGGAATTGTTGTTCTTGTGCAAAGCGTGGATCATTTTGGGACAATAGGTGTTGTAGTTGCTCGTCGGACATCATCATATCATCTCGCCGTTGGTAATCCGTTTCAAAATCATCTCGACTTTGAAAAGAAGTCTCGGCCCGCGCTATACCTTTGCCTTTGCGTGAAGTAGATCAAGTCGATGCAATCTCCCTCTTGCGGTTGCGTTGGAGATTACCCACATCTACAGAATGTCTACCACGCTCCATCTTTAAAATTGAACAAATATTAAATGATATCAAATATTTTATATGAGTACAATATTTAACTACTATTTTTACTTTAATGAGAAATGTAGCAATTAACTAATATGAGAAATGTAAAAATTAACTACTTTTTTTACTTTAATGAGAAATGTAGCAATTAACTAATATGAGAAATGTAAAAATTAACTACTATTTTTACTTTAATGAGAAATGTAGCAATTAACTAATATGAGAAATGTAAAAATTAACTACTTTTTTTACTTTAATGAGAAATGTAGCAATTAACTAATATGAGAAATGTAAAAATCAACTACTTTTTTTTACTTTAATGAGCAATGTAGCAATTAACTAATATTAATATGAGAAATGTAACAATTAAGTAGTTTAACTAATATTAATATGACAAATGAAACAATTAAGTAATTTAATAGGTAAACGAGAAGTCTAACAATTAACTACTTTTATAAAATGTATGAATGTGTATAAGTCTATATCAATGAGTATAAGTATATATAGTATATATAGTGTAAATATATTATAAGTAATATATAATATAATGTATAACTATATATAGTATATATAATATAATGTGTAAAGAATTATAATATGAATGTGTATAAGTATATATTTATAAGTAGATAATTAATATATAAGTAGATATAATAATTATATAAATTATATATATGTAGAAAGAATTTGGAGAAGATGAAGAATGAAGATGATTGAATATGAGAGATTGAGAGAATAGAGCATTTAGAGAGTAGGAAGAGTTGTAGAAGAAGAGGTGTAAAAAATGTATAGAAAATAGGAGTATAAATAGGTTTTTTTTGTATACCCCACCCCCCCTAACCCCCCAGACCCCCCCTCCTATGCTCCCAACGGCTATAGAGCCATTTGGGAGCTCTCCCAACAGCTATAGAGCCTTTAACTATTTTTAAAAAAAAATATGACCATTGCAGCTCGGGCCGAACCGCTAGAACACCGGGCCGGGTGGCCCAAACCGGGCACCAGCCGGTTCACCGGGCCAGTCCGGGCCCGCACAGTAGCGGGCCGGTCTGGTTCCGGGCCGGTTGGCCCGGCCCGAGTCCATCCCTAGGTAAACTCAGTCTATTCTATTTTTGAAAAGAGTGGTAAAATGAAAAAAGTGATATTATTTCCAATTTTAAGGTTATGTGTGAAAAATTCCCTTGTTTCATTTATGAACCTGATTGGAGAATCAAACGATTATGGCTACCAAACAAGCCCAAATACGTTTTGCATTATCATGGATCATCTGTTCCGCTAGCAAACAATGCTTGCAATTGAATAGGCAACTGGTACAGGGAAACTATAGTTTCTACTGGTACATTAATTGGATGGACCCTGCCCAACCCTCCAACCCAAAACAATCTCATTGTCTATTTATATGCACGCTTGCTGCAAGAGAAAATTGTTCACCTCAGCTGCAACTTCATAAGCTTCCTCTACACATCGACCTAAAGCTACACCTGAAACATAGCTACCCCCAAGAAACAGTCCTTTCAAGCCTTCATCTCGGATACCACTTTTTGCCACTTCTAGGATATCCAAATGACCCACCAAGAACTGTGGAATCGCTTGAGGCCACACTCTCACACCAAGAACAAGCGGATCCTTAGCATTTGGTTTTATGAGCATCTTCCTCAAATCACGGTCAACTGCTGCCACAAGTTCACCCTCCGTCTGTTGCAAAAACATTGAATGAACAAGAATAACCAGTGTAATGGCAATCGTGCTAGGTGAACTTCATGCCTTGTTTGGTTAAGCACTAAACTCCTGGTGGGATCACTATCCGTGTTTAGATCATAGTTCTTGGGAATTTCCTTAGGGCCCGTGAGGGTTTTACAGAGCTAAGTTTACATGCAAGAATATAAAAACTAAAGGAAGACCATAATAAATGATCATATAACATTTTGGATCACCGCTATTTCATTTACAAAAAGCCTATTTATCACTCAAGATATAGACGCTCAAACGCCTTCAACTCCAAAACCATCCCATCCCACATACTCTTATTCTTGAGGGTTTTGTTTGATTCTAACATACCGTGCCATCCTCATCACTTACCAATGATTCAGTTCTGATCACCAAAACATGGCCTAAGATATACTACCCCCGTCCTAAAAAACTTTGCCATTTTTTAAACTTTGACCAATTATATATTTTTAATATAGAAATTATATGAAAATGTTCTTTCTTAAAAGCACTTTCATTAAAGTATATTACTTCCACAATATTATACTAATCAAAATCATGGTCCAAATTTTATGAAATGGCAAAGTTTTTTGGGGCAGAGGTAGTATTTTATAAATGAGAAATACTGCCTTAGAATTTAGTTCAGGACATATTGCAACTGCCTCCCATCAACACTCTTCTCAACCTATATCAAGCTTCGTTCTATAAATATCCGCCCAGGTGTTAGTGTTACATTGATATCTAACATATATTTCAAAAAGAAATACTCAAATCACAAATCACAATTACAAAACATCACACCTTAGACAAAATCCCAGGGTTGGTAGCCCCACCAATGTAGTTCAGAAGCAAAACCCTTCCTTCAGGTGCTCGATTAGGAAAAAGTGATGAGCTGTATAAAGTGCCTAAGGAATACTCCATGCCCATTATATCATGCATAAATATAAAATTGAAAGTGCACAATAATACTTCTGATTATCCAATGCAACTGACCTAAGGTTTCAACCCCTTGGCTGCGTGGATGCAACTGGCCAAACCCCTTAAGCTCACCATTTATTAAGCAATTTGTCCGTATTGCTTCTTTTGGGTAAGAAACAGATACAGCTGCAACTGGTGGGTAATAAAATTTTGATAGGGAATCAGCAGCTACAGCCTGCAAATAAGGGTTGCACACTTTCAAATATTTAGACTCTGTTTGGTAGTATTAAGTGTACTTTTCAGCTTATTCTGTTTACCATAATAATCAACATAATACGCACATGCTTATTCTGTTGAGCATTATTGTTTTACAATAAGTAACCTTTGACTAACTTATTTGTCTGATACTCTGATATCAATTTTAAATTTTTAACAAACACTTATCCTTTAAGAATCAGCAAATTCAGCCATTTCAGTCAAATAACCCTTACCAAACATGCCCTTATAGTTTAGTTTTGAAAGCCACAAAAAAAGAGAAGGAACAAGGATGAAGCAGTAAAACATGAGTGTTGAATGATATGCAGCTCTCCATATAATTAGACAATACCAAGGGACAATTTAATACACATCCAAATAATAAAAGCATTACCAACATAAAATGAGAAAATACCAAGGTATATATAAGGCCTTCAGAATGACCATGTAGAAAGTTAAAGAAGATAGCTAAATGAAAGCCATTGAATGACTACCCTAAAAAAGTTGGCCACGAGAAAGTTATGAGAACAAAGGAGACTATTGAATGAACCCTAAAGCAAATTGCAAGTTTAGCATATGGACAATATATGGTCCTAAAAAATAAGCTAGCTTAATGCATAAGACCATCTATTGCCAATAATGAAGTTGATTCAAATTCCAGTCCCTCATTGGTGCTTTAGCATCTAAGTATCTAACAAATGTTAAACATAACTTTGAAACCATTTTCAGATATAGAAACCACATTGTGAACATGGAGTAAATGGTTGAGATCATTGCACCTTAGAACAAAAATAGATCTTGACCAAAATTAGGTATTGAACTTTCTACTGATGAAAAGAAAGAACAAAAAACTTGAAAATGGTATGCATAAAAAATACATACAGAAAGAGGTTGCAACAAATTGCTCGCAATGTAGGAGGGAACTGTCAGTACAACACTCTTGGTCTGTAGAGAAACAAACCCTTCAGGAGTTTGATATGCTAGATTATACCCTCCACCGTCCAATTTAGATATACTTGAGAGCTTCCAAGACAATTTAATGTTGCTGCCCAACCTGCAACACAGTTGTGGCCTGTCAGAGCCCAATAATCATCAAAATATATTACTACATACATTATACTCCTAAATTAAATGTTGATATATCAAAAAAAGATGTCCCAAAATTATAACTGTTTGAGGAATTCAATACATACTTTTCACTGATCTTACAAATTTTCAACAATAACAACAACATCCAAGCCTTAATCCCAAAAGAATTTGGGGTCGGCTAACATGAATCGATCTACGATATCGATGCCAAATAGAGAGACGGATAAGGAGGGCGGAAAAAAGTAAGATAAAACGGATAAAATAAAGATAAATAAGTATAAGATAACAATAACATAAGAATATAAGAAAGATAGAAAGAAAAGAACATAAAAAAGTTAGAAGATAAAAATAAGGGAAAATTGCACTTGTCCCAAAAATAGTCACCATATTGAAATGTCAGACCCATGTTCCCTAGTTTGTAAATGTCACCCCTCAATTGTCCAAATTGTTGTAAATGTGGTCCTTCGAGGGATGAAATGTACAATGTGGGCGATGAGTACATTTCACCCCTTAAAGGAACACATTTACACCAATTAGGAAAATTGAGGGGTGACATTTACAATCTCATAAATATGGGTCTGATATTTCAACATGATGACTATTTCAGGGACTAAAAGTGCGATTTTCCCTAAAAATAACACAAGAATATAAAAAGATAAAGAAGATAAACGATAAAAGAAAAGAGAGAGAGAAAATGTAGAAAAGACATTAATCGTCCACACGAATATGCGCTCTCTACTTTGCTCTCTCTAAAGCTATACTCTCATCCAACCCAAGAAGACGCATACGAGTTCTGATTCCTCTAATCCAAGTCTGTTTGGGTCTACCCCTCCCTCTCTTCTCTGCCTCTTCTCCCCACCCCTCAAGTTGTCTAACAGGTGCATCACTCGGTCTTCTACGCACATGCCCAAACCACCGCTAACGAGACTTCTGCATCTTATCTTCTATAGGTGTTACTCCCACATTTTATCTGATCATCTCATTCCTCAAACAGTCTTTTTTGGTATGTCCACACATCCAACGCAACATACGTATCTCTCCCACACTCATCTTTTGAATGTGGCATTGCTTCACCACCCAACACTCTACGTCATACATTAATGCAGGCTTAATTGTTGTTCAATAAAATTTTGCTTTCAGTCTAGTCAGCATACCTTGATCGCATAGAAATCCTGATGGCTGATGCACTCTTCCATTCCATCCACACAGCTCTGATTTTATGACATACATCTCCATCTAATTTACCATCCTTTGGAATTATGGAGCCCAAATAACGGAACATATCACACACTGGTATCTCCTTACCATCAAGAGTAATGCCACTGTTGCTACTATTTCTACCTCTACCAAACTTGCACTCCATATATTCAGTCTTGCTTCGCCTCAGCCTGAAACCCTTCGTCTCTAATGTTTGTCGTCATACTTCCAACTTCGCTTTAACACCGGATTGCGTCTCATCGATCAATAAATATCGTCGGCAAACATCATGTGCACCGCGGTATATCTTCTTGAATTAACTTCGTAAGTTCATCCATGATTATAGCAAATAAGAAAGGACTCAGAGCAGATCCTTGATGCACTCCAATAGTAGGGAACTTTGCGGTCCTCCCTATACTAATGTGGACAATTGTAGTACAAGCATCATACATATCCATGATGATACTAATATACTTATGTGATATGCCTTTTCAAGTTAAGGTCCATCAAAGGACTTCTCGAGGTACCCTATCATATGTCTTTTCTAAGTCAATGGACACCAAAGCAGATCCTTTCTTGTGTCTCTATACTTCTCCACAACTTGTCTAAGAAGATGAATGGCCTCAATTGTTGAGCGTCCAGGCATAAAACCAAATTGATACTCCAAAATTTTCACACTTTTACAAAGCCTTTGCTCAACCACTCGCTCCCAAAGTTTCATGGTGTGACTCATAAGCTTAATCCCTCCATAGTTGGCATATTCTTGTACATCACCCTTATTTTTAAATAGGGGAATGAGAATACTCTTCTGTCAACTCACTAACATTTTGTTGTTTCTCCAAACCATGTTGAAGAAACGTGTTAGCTGCTCGATGCCTTTCTCTCCCAAACTTCTCCAAACCTCGATCGGTATGCCATCTGGGCCCACTGTTTTTTTCTGCCCCATTTTTCTCATAGCCTCTTTAACTTCTGTTGTTTGAATCCTTCTCACAATGTTTTGATTTACCATACACTCTGGTATAGTAAGATCATCAATACCTTGCACTTTATTCCCGTTGAACAAGGTATCAAAGTATGACCTCCACCTCTCTTTTATTTCCACGTCCTCCATTAGTACCCTTTGATCGACATCCTTCGCACACTTAACTTTTCCGATATCTTGAGTCCTACGGTCACGAAAGCGAGCAAGTCTGTAGATATCTTTTCTCCTTCCTTAAAGTTCAATTTTACATACAATTCTTTGTTCACTTTTCCTCTGACTTCCTTCACTTTTCCTCTGGCTTCCTCACTTTTCCTCACGACATCCTTTCTTTGCTCTTCTTTTAGCCTCCTTGTACTCCTCCATGTTCTCGTCGCTCCAGCTTTTGCTCAATTTCTTATAGCATTCCCTTTTGATCCTTATTGCTTGTTTCACTTCATCATTCCACCAAGACATGTCCTTTTTTGGTGGCAAACAACCTTTAGATTCTTTGAGTATCTCTTTCGCCACTTCGTTAATGGTGAACTCCATTGATAACCACACATCATCCACATGTGCGTCATTATCAAAAGACCATACATCTTACTCCAACACTTTATGTGCAAAACTTTGTTGGAGATTCTGCTCGAGCCTCCACCACTTTATCTTTGGCTCCCTTTGTACCTTAACCCGATTCCTCTCTTTACCTTGAAAATCAAGCACAAGCATTCTATGCTGAGTGACAGCACTCTCACCTGGGATAACCTTACAATTAGTGTAGCTAGTTCTCTAAGTCGTCCGTACTAAAAAGTAGTCAATTTGGGTACTATTAGCTTCACTTCTATAGGTGACAAGGTGAGAGTCTCTTTTCATGAACCAAGTGTTTATCACGGCCAACTCATATGTCGAGGCAAAATCCAGAATGTTCTTCCTTGCTTCATTTCTAGTGCCAAAACCATGTCCGCCATGGATACTCTCAAAACCATCACAACTTGGGCCCACATGTCCGTTGAGGTCGCCTCCTATGACCGGCTTCTCTTCCCTTGGCACTCATCGCACCACTTCTTCAAGATCCTCTCAAAATTGTTGAGTGATAGATGCATCCAATCCCACTTGTGGTGCATAGGCACTTACCAGGGACACGATCTCATCTCTTATTATCAACTTAATGCTCATCATGTGATCGTTCTTCCTAAAGACTTCAACCACACCCTCAACATAATCATGTGCCACCATAATGCCTACTCCATTTCTGTTCCTCTCTCCCTGAATACCAAATCTTAAAATCTCCGGGATTAATCTCACGTGCCTTTTCTCCAACCCATTTAGTTTCTTGCATGAGAGCCAACATTCCACGTGTCATAATGCTGATATTCCTCCTCTTCATAACCTCGACTATCTCAGATGATCTTCCCATATGAGAGCCAACATTCCATGTCCCAAAACGCAATCTAGCACTCTGTCTTCTCTTCTTCACACCACATCGACCCCCACCATGCCCTTGCATATTTGACACCATCCTCAGGCACTGAAGTGACGCGTCGCTTCCGAGCGCCGAGCTAACAGCTTTGGCATTCTTATCACCACACCCAGGCCTATGGAGTGTAGCGCGCTCTTGCTCATTTGACACCACCCCCAAACGGAGGGATGACGCGTCGCTTACGGGCGACGACCTAACTGTAGCGATATTCATATTTTGATTCATGTCATGTCATGTGATTAAGTGATATTGTTGTCCGTCACGCGCCTACCACTGCACCCTTTTCCTTTATCCTAGTTTGGGACAGGCATGATACAAAAAAATGATCTCACGCGGCTACCACAGCACCCTCTTCCTACACTAAATTCTTTTGCACTTTGGACACAACAACAACAACAACATCCAAGCCTTAGTCCCAAAAGATATTGGGGTCGGCTAACATGAATCGATACATGATATCACAACCAAAAGGAAAAGAAGGAATACAGATAAAAAGATAAGCTATTATGAAAAGATAATATAAAAAAGATGAACATATATAAAAATGATAAAATAAAAAGACTGCAAATAATGCTTATATATATAAGGATAAAAAAACTAGGAAAAAAAAGATGAGGGAAAAAGATTATCAAGATCACTCCTTCACGTGAATACCCGCCCTCCACCTTGTTCTCTCCAAAGTCATGCCCTCATCTAACCCCAGAAGAAGCATATCACTTCGAACTCCCCTAACCCACGTCTGTTTGGGTCTTCCTCTCCCTCTCTTCTCTGCCTCTTCTCCACACATCTCAACTCGCCTAACAGGTGCATCACTCGGTCTTCTACGCACATGACCAAACCATCGTAGGCGCGACTCCCGCATCTTGTCTTCAATAGGTGCTACTCCCACCCTTTGTCTGATTGTCTCATTCCTCACGCGGTCCTTCCTAGTATGCCCACACATCCAACGCAGCAAGCGCATCTCTGCCACACTCATCTTATGAATGTGACATTGTTTCACCGTCCAACACTCTACGCCATACAGTAATGCAGGCCTAATTGTTGTCCTATAAAATTTACCCTTCAGTCTAGTCGGCATACCTCGGTCGCATAGAAATCCTGACGCACCCTTCCACTTCATCCACCCTGTTCTGATTCTATGGGATACATCTCCATCTAACTCACCGTCCATCTGAATTATGGAGCCCAAGTAACGGAACATATCGTTGACTGGTATCTCCTTACCATCCAGAGTAATTCCGCTATTACCACTACTTCTACCTCCACCAAACTTGCACTCCATGTACTCTGTCTTGCTCCGACTTAGTTTGAAACCCTTATTCTCCAATGTTTGTCGCCATACTTCCAACTTTGCTTTAAGACCTGATTGCGTCTCATCAATCAATACAATATCGTCGGCAAACATCATGCACCACGGTATATCGTCTTGAATTGACTTCGTAAGTTCATCCATGACTATGGCAAATAAGAAAGGACTTAAGGCCGATCCTTGGTGCACTCCGATAGTAATAGGGAACTCTTCAGTCCTCCCTACACTAGTACGAACACTTGTAGTACAATCCTCATACATATCCATGATGATGCTGATATACTTGCGTGATATGCCTTTCCTAGTTAAGGCCCACCAAAGAACTTCTCGAGGTAATAGGGAACTCTTCAGTCCTCCCTACATTAGTACGAACACTTGTAGTACAATCCTCATACATATCCATGATGATGCTGATATACTTGAGTGATATGCACTTTGGACACAAATAAAATATATTTATTATGCATATTAAATAAGAGTACAATGATTATTTAGGTCTGGAGAGAGCATTCAGTTAAGGGCTACATCCTAGTGATGGATATATGTAGAGTAAAGGACACCTTCCAGCCATAACTAGATCAAATGCTTCTCTCCAAGATAACTGTCTGGTCAGTTCTAGGGGGCCTCATGTGTGGGATGTCATCCTTTTTTGGGATCAAATGCTTCTTGTGAAAATGCAATACAGGGAGACACACTACCTTTTGGCAATTGCATCAGGTAACATTATAAGTCCCTTTCGAAAGGATCCTACTGTCTGACCCTTTGGTTCTGGTAAGCGCCTGAAAGATAGTTAGTCAACAACTTGCAAAAAAATGATTAAAAAGGATCACAAGAAGAGGGCCCAATGCATGTAGACAATTTTTACGGGTCTCGACTAGGCTTTGAGGTTTTCCTCTTCTTCTGGATTGTTTTTAAAGTGCCGCCAATTATGCTCCCGCCAATTTGCTCTAATTTCCAAACTCTTCCAAACGCTGCTTTCATACCAAGTTTTGAAGGATCGCCTGCATAAACACCTGCACATAAACCAAAACCAGATACATACAGCAACAAGCATTCAATAATGTACAATGTTGGATTAAGTTCCCGAACATAGAAAGATCTTTTGTTGCGAAGCAATAAGTTTAAGACCTAGCTCACTATCACAAACAGTTGAATAACTCTGAGCAAACTTACTTACACTGTTTGGACAGCGTTACTTGTTCAGGATTACTTTCAGGCTTGGGGTCAGCTCAAAACCTCATAGCTCTTACCTTTCTCCTTCATATATTGATATGGACTGCACTCCCTATACCCATGCTTTTAGAAGGCATTTGATATGTATGCCCCGAGGCGTGCCCTGGCGCGAAGGGCAGCTAAAATGCCTTGAGTCTTACGCCTCTAAGTGTTGCCTAGAGGCATACGCCTTGTGAGGCAGTCCAGGCTTAAGCCTAATTGTTACCAAGTAAATGGTCCAGCCATCCACCGAGTATTTATTGCACATATGAGGCCAATAAAGGCTTTCTTTTTCTCCGGGAGTCTTTGAGTAATTGAGTTAGTTAAACAATTTTAGAGACCGTTTACTAGCTGGAGAAGTTATTCTCAATATGAAAAATTGGAAAATAGGTAGTTACAAATATGTTCAATTCCTCAATATACAAACCCTAAGGCTCATAGTAGTTACAGATTATTTCAATATTCTGTTTAGCAGGAAGTCTACTGCTCTTCTTGTCAGAACTGCACTGTACATTATCTTGATATAACTTATATACTGAAAGATTAATAATCAATTATACATTTAGTTGTTTAAGACTACTTGGATTACACACAAGGTTGTTAAAATTGTATTTTTAGATCGCATCGGAATAAGGATTTAAAAATTGAATCGAAAAATCGAATCGTACATTGTAAGATTTTATTAAAAATAAATAAAATTGCAAAAGATATTATATCGAAGGAAACATACAATTTAACATTAATAAGTCAAGTATTGCAAATTTAAGTTTGTAAGTTAAACCATTATATGTTAAAGTCTTATAATGATGTCTTAATTTAAGTGCATAAAATAGAAGAAATTGCCCAAAATGGGACTAAAACATGGACTAAATTCCTAAATAGGACATTAAGTTTTTTATTCCCTAAACAGGACTAAAGATTACAATTTTACCCTTCTAATTAAACCCCTGAAGATCGAAGCGGGATCGCAACCTGGATCGCAACCTTCTTCCTCTCCCCTGCGACTTTCCCATTGGCCGGCCATAGTTTCTCCACCTTCGATTGCAGCTTATCCGCCATCGATCGCAATCATCTGTTCATCCAGGTACTCTTCTTCCCCTCCTCCCCTCCTTCTTCTTCTTCTTCTTCCTCTTTCCTTTTTTTGGTCTTCTGTTCTCTTCTTCTTTAGATTTCAATTTTTTATTTATTTATTATTTTTTATTAATTTGGAACCTTAAAATGCCATAAATAACAAGCAATTAGAAAAATGTCACTTTTATGACATTACATTTAAAGTGACATTGTTACTCTTTAGAAACTAACATTGTTACTCAAAAAATGCCACTTTAAAGACGTCATTTTTGTTTCGAAAATGTCATGCAAGTGACATTATTACTCTTTAGAGATGTCATTTTCTTCTTTGAACTGTCACCTTGTCAAATATAATGTCATAAAAGTGACATTATTACAAATCGGTGTTAGATCATCAATTATGGCATTTTTCTAAAGTTTTTAAATTTCAAAGTAAAACTGTCTTCTTAACAGATGTAATGCCATAAAATTGACATTCTTCGAAATTTCTGATAATTTTATGGCATTCTCATATTCCTGCTTTACAAATAAAATTGAAATCCAAATTAAAAAAAAAAAAGATAACAGAGTACCAGAAGAGGAAGAAGGGGGAAGAAGAGGAAGGAGAAGAAGAAGAAGAAGAGGAGTTGGAGGAGGAGGAAGAAGAGGAAGGAGAAGAAGAAGGAGAAGAAGAAGAAGGGGAAGAATAGATACCTGACTTGGCTGGAGAAATTGCAGCAGTGGTGTCATCGATGGCGGAGCTGCGGCGGTGGCGGTAGATGACGGAGCTGCGGCCATGGTAGAGGAAGATATTGATGTCGATGGATGTCTGGGAGATTGACGGCGAGCGATTGCGGAGGGTAGAAGGCGCACAACTGGGTTAGGTTAATGGGTAGAGGTAAAAGTGTAATCTTTAGTCCTATTTAGGGAATTTAAAACAATATGTCATGTTTTTGCAATATCAACTTCTTTTAGTCATATTTAGGTAATTCTCCATAAAATAATGTTATGTAATCAAAGAATAAAAGCCACTCAAGAAATAAATATAATGTTACAATCAAGTTTTAGAATGGAAAAATTATATAAATATTAGTTGAAATAGCTACGTTAATATAAGTAAGTTTGACTTAAATTATATAAATACATCAACAACTTATTCTATCATTTACAATGAAGCCAAAGACTCACTATTTTTGGCTTGAAAATATGATGAAATATATAAAAAAGGTTCACTTAAATGTCTGCGCTTCTTTGTTATGAAGCAAGAGTGAGTTCATGCAATTTTCAACGCGATTTTCACTATGGTACATCCGGAAACAGTCTCTTTGTGCTTAAGTACATGGGTAAGGCGACATACATCCGACCCCCTACCCAACCGTAGCTGGGAGCCTTTGCGTCACTGGAGTAATGATGACGATGATGACAACAACAACAACATCCACGCCTTATTCTCAAAAGATTTCGGGGTCAACTAACATGAATCGATCCATGATATTAGAGTAAAAAAGAGAATAAAAATAAAAAAAAGGAAAAAGGTTCAAATAAGCACTTGTACTATTTCCAAACCGTCACTAAAGCTCATGTACAAAAAAAAGTATCATATAAGTACGCCTACTTTACAAAATGGACCAATTTGACCATTTAATCAGCTTTTGACCTGTAATAGCAGGTTTTTAATACTTAAAAATTCTGAAAAATTGTTAAAATTTGATGAAATGTGTACAAAAATTGTGAACATTTTCAGAATATCAAAGTCAATATTTTTTATTTTTAAAAATATTTGTATATTCGACATCTATTTAAAAGGTTTTTAAATTTTTTATGTTTCCTTTTTTTAATTTAACATTATTTTTTCAGTTTTATATTTTTTTATTTTTTTTACTTTAATGTTTTTAAAATTTATAAATTTTTATATTTATACTATTTTATATTATTATTAGTTTATTTATTCAAATTTATATGAATTTTTGTAAGATTTATCAATATTCCTAATTTATTTTTAAAAAAAAAACTGCTAGCAGGTCAAAGGGGTGGTTGATTGTATTTTAAAAGTAGACATACTTATATGATACATTTTTTAGTATAGGGGCTTAAGTGACAAATTAGAAATAGTAGAAGGACTTATTTGACCCTTTTTCCTAAAAAAAAGATAAGATAAAATGAATAAGATAAAGTAAAATATAAGATAAAAATAACAATATAACATAAGAAAGACAAAGGATAAAAAGATAAAAGAACATAAAAAGATATATGATATAAATACATAAGAACATAGAAAGATGAAGAAGATAGAAGATAAAAGAAAGAAAGAAAGAAAGAGAAGAGAGATTAATCGTCCACACCAATATGCGCCCTTCACTTTGCTCTCTCCAAAGCCATATTCTCATCCAACCCAAGAAGAAGCACATGAGCATATCAATTCTGATTCCACTTTATATAAATGAGTTTAAAAATTACTTCCTCCGTTCTTTAATAATTGCAACATTAGGTTTTTTGCACTACTCACACACCTTACTTTGACCATGACTAGATTCTCACTCGTGCGATGCACGGAATAAAATTTAGTAAAACAATATCGTATTATTTATTTATTATATTATTACATTAAAAATAACATCAAATTCTCATAAAATTCAATGCGTAAATGTATGAAAATATAATTGAATGAGGAATTATATACGAAGTAATTATTAAGCTTAGGTTATATTACTAAAACAGAAAGTAACTAAGCATTCCAGCCCAAACCGATTGTGAGGTTATCGTGCCTAGTGAGAGGTCTCGAATTCGAAACTCGCTAGGCAAATAAGGATTTGAAACTCAATGGAGTGAATTTCAGGCCCTGATTACTCCAGCCCCTCCCCCAGACCCCCTGGAGTAAAAAAAATACTAAGACCGAAAGTTAGAGGCGACAATGTTTTAGAAGAAGGCAAAAAAATGAATATTACCCAGACTTGATCGGCCGATTTCGGTCCCATAGCATTAACTGTGACTGGTGCTAGATATTACTGGTTTTGGTCCCTCGGTTAGTCTCAGTCCAGTCCCATTTTTTATGTTCTTAAACCATCCTAACTCTTCCCTACTATTTTTCAGGTTTTAAATGGATTCATATATATATATACAGGGAGCGGATCAGCTGAGAAGTACCCTTAGAGTGAGAAGCTGAGAAGTCTAACTTATAAGCAAAAAACACGAACGTTTAACCAAAAAATCATAACTTATAGCCCCCCTAAAAAACACGAACTTTCTGCAAAAAAAATTCCAGGTTTCTGGAGTTATTTTGACGCGGTGGCATTTTAGTAATTTTTTTGGAGGGGGTCTATAAGTTATGATTTATTGGTTAAAAGTTCGTGTTTTGAGCTTATAAGTTAGACTTCGCAGCTTGTCAGCCTAAGGGGGATTTCTCACATGATCTTTCTCTCTCTCTCTCTCTCTCTCTCTCTCTCTCTCTCTCTCTCTATATATATATATATATATATATATATATATATATATATATATCATAAAAATGAATTCGTCTCTTTTAAAATGCTTATACATCTTGATGAAAGTTGAAATTAATAAAATGGAAAAATGGACCGACAGTGACCGGCTGATTTTTGTGTCCCAAAAACATTAATAGGCAATGTTACCGATCCGAATTGGAAATAACAGTTATGTTCTAGTTCTTGGAATCGGTCGGCTCCGGTCCAAGACCGTGGACCGTGTCCATACCACCGTTATCTATGATGGTTACATTCACAATATTTATACA